GCAACTTGCTTCTAACTGGCCTCCTTGCCGGAAAAGCACCCCATCCATACTCCAAAAACTTCCTCTCAGATCCAACACTTCCAATGCCCAAAATTGAAACTTCTACAACTAAATAAGCATTCTACAAGTTTCTTTTCCGTAAGGCTTCATATGAAAATCTGAAAACTCCTGAGATTTTCAACATATTAGAGCGTGTCACACTAAGGAGTGACACACCAGACCCAGACTCTTCCCTAGGCTGGGGCTGGGAGAGACTTGGAGGTTGAAAGCAGGGAGGGGCTACAGGCAAGAAAGGGCTGAACCCCCGCTTCCGAAGATTTCACCTATTTTTCCGTTTGCCTGGAGCAGGCCACGCAGATTCCCTTCCCTTGGAAGCCCAGGGAGCGTCTGGTAGATCACTGATTCTGTACCCCTCATCGTTTCTACAAGTGGGTGAAGGACACCTTTCGCACCCCGCACTCTTTGCCCGCCCCTTAACCTTTCCCCCTAGTCACTTCCGGCCCGATCCCACGCTCGGGAAAGCGTTATTCCGCTTCATCCTCCCGCCGGTCCTCACCTGAATCCCTTTCTCCAAAGACCGACTCCAGTGCTTAGAGATAGTAACTAGGGAATCTGGGAAGTGCATCTTGGGACTAGTAGTCCAAGGTAGAAGAAAGCAGTGGAAAACTACAATTCCCAGAATACACTTCCATTTCCTCCCTCTTCCTGGGCCCCCATCGACCCACCTCCTTTTAAAGACTCTCTTAGCCACGTTGACTGTGCGGGAAAAGCCTTTTTAAAACATATTTTATGTTGTTTAAACCTACCATTTCGGAAGCATTCCGAAGGCTAAAGTGAGAAATAAGCCCAGGCTAGGGAGAGGAGAAACAAGGTTTACGTTCCAGTCTGGCACCGGGTTGGACAGTCGCTGAGACGGCAGTCGGGCATATGGTGTGGTCGCCTAAGGGGTGGGTCCTTCGGCGGGGGCGCTGGGAAACCCCGTGAGCCTACGCGGCGTTCTTCCTTTTCGATCCGCCATCTGCGGTGAGTGTCTCCTCTTCCCATGCTCTCGGGCAGGCGCCGTTTGCCTCGTGCATTTGTGTCCTCTGACCTAACCCGTCTCTTCCTTTTCCTCAGCCTCAGGTGGGGCCGCCATCAAAATGCAGATTTTCGTGAAAACCCTTACGGGGAAGACCATCACCCTCGAGGTACGGGTCAGGTGGTCCTGAGGAAGCTAGGGTTCAAATAAGGTCCTGAGGTGGATTTTGGCACTGGCGCTGCTTTCCAAGCCTTAGACCATGATTCTGAACGAATTTGGGTTCTGAAATTTAAGCCCTGAAATGAGGATCTTTTGCTGAGCAAAGGTCTAGAGCTGGTTTTTGGTGACCAGAGGCTGGGCCTTTTGCCCCTCGAGGGGTTCGGGCCAGTTAGCTAAAGCGGAGGAGCTGCGCCTGCCAGGAGGGAGCACATGTGGCCCTGCAGCCGCCGCCCGCCCTGGGCTGGGGAGATGAAGGTGCTCTCCGGGAGCAGACTTGGGAGGTTGCCCACTGGATAGGTAATCAGCTCCCTTGAGTAGCTTTCAGCCCTGCCGCCGGTTCGGTTCACTGGTAATTACCAGCTTGAATTAAACGAGTTCTCCTGTAGTTGCTTAATGTGTAACCAGCCTACTTTCATTTTAACACTTACAGGTTGAACCCTCAGATACGATAGAAAATGTAAAGGCCAAGATCCAGGATAAGGAAGGTAAATAATATTTTGTAGTTAAGAAAAATTAACCTGTGGAGACGTTAACCTACCAGTAGGCGCTAGGCATGTCTGCTCTTGGTGAGGCAGGGGAAGGGGTCAGATTGACAAAGCGTAATACTTGTGGAATAACACAGCAAACAAATGTTCATGATCCGGGAGCACAGTACCTAGATTGGAATCCTTGAGGTGTATTTCACTTGTGTGAATTTGGACACTTACTTATTTTGGGTGTGAGAGGGAGTCTGCTTTGTCGTCCAGGCTGGAGTGCAGTGGCGCGTCTCGGCTCACTGCAACTTTAGGCTCCCGAGTAACGGGGTTTACAGGCGTGCACCACCACGCCTCGCTAATTTTTTGTATTTGTAGTAGAGACTGGGTTTCACCGTGTTGACCAGGCTGTTTTCGAATTCCGGACCTCAAGTGATCTGCTCACCTCGGCCTCCCAAAGTGCTGGGATTACAGGCGTGAGGCGTGGCGCCCAGCCAAGTATTGGCATTAAGATTAAATGCAGTAAAATGTAATGTACAAAGATTGAGAACTATGTCCTGTAGTAAGGGCTTATTATCAGCCGTTATCATCATGTATTTGATTAAGGGATGTTACCTTTATAAATGTGGAGCACATCAGGCTTGGTGTGCTGTGACTCGATTTTTTTTTTTTTTTTTTTCTCATTAGGAATTCCTCCTGATCAGCAAAGACTGATCTTTGCTGGCAAGCAACTGGAAGATGGACGTACTTTGTCTGACTACAACATTCAGAAGGTCTGTCTGGGGGAAGGAGCAGCCTCTTAAAATCTTATTTTGGAAATTTTTCATTCTACTGTTTTTGAGACTGGCTCTGGCTCCGTCACCCAGGTTGGAGTGAGTGGTGCAGTCACTGCAACCTTCACCTTTCAGGCTCAGGTGATCCTCCCACCTCAGCCTCCTATAATTGGGGCTAATTAGGCACATGCCTCCGTGCATGCCTAGGTTGGTCTCAAGACTCCTGGGCTAAAGTGATCTTCCTACCGTGGCCTCCCAGTGCTGGGGTTGCAGACGTGAGCCACTGCCTGCATTGTTTTCTGGACATTTGGACACAAGTGGGGAGAATGGGATTAGATTAGCAATAGCTTTTTGGGTGACTCCTATACTGATACTTGAAGCACTGCCATAGTTTCTTAAATGTATTTTGCAAGTTGCATCCCATGGTGTAATTCAATGCATTCTTTAATCTCCCTATAAACTGTTAGTTAAAAATCAGATACTTTATTGGGATAGAGGTAGCAAGATCCGATGCATGATATTGGTGTGCCCATTCTTAGTGCAGTCATGAAAGCTTGCTTTATTCTCTCTCCCATTAACAGGAGTCTACTCTTCATCTTGTGTTGAGACTTCGTGGTGGTGCTAAGAAAAGGAAGAAGAAGTCTTACACCACTCCCAAGAAGAATAAGCACAAGAGAAAGAAGGTTAAGCTGGCTGTTCTGAAATATTATAAGGTGAGCCAGTTAAAGTGATGGGCAGAATGTCAGCAAAGTCTTGGTTTATTTGGAAAACTTAATCTTTATAGTAACTTGTCAATATTTTCTTGGACTTAATTAAGCATCCAACATTATCCCACTTTTGTTTAAATGAAGTATTCTGGAAATGGGAAATTCAGACTTTCTGGGGTTTTTGTTTGATATTTGAAATCACTTATATAATAGGGCTCTGAGTTTAAAGTTAGGTCTGGGTTCAGGTCTTACCTTCGTTTACCACTTGGAAAGCTGGCCTTTAATGTTTGAAAGTCCCAAGACTTCTGAATGTTTTCATTGTAGTGATAACTGGTGAGAATTTAGGGTGCTTTGGTTTATAAGCACTAAAACTACCAGTATGATATAGCTAAAAACTTAAATATTTTGAGTCAGTTAAATTAGACTTCAGAATGTGTTGTAAAATTATCTTACAGCAAGTTTGTACTTTTCAGGTGGATGAGAATGGCAAAATTAGTCGCCTTCGTCGAGAGTGCCCTTCTGATGAATGTGGTGCTGGAGTGTTTATGGCAAGCCACTTTGACAGACATTATTGTGGCAAGTGTTGTCTGACTTACTGCTTCAACAAACCAGAAGACAAGTAACTGAGTTAATAAAAGACATGAACTAACATTTATTGTTGGATTATTGCAGTGCTTTAAAGAATGATTTTTAAGCACCAAATTGATGGTCATACCATTTCCTTTAGTAGTTCTGATGTCACTGTGTGAGTGTGCTTCTGGGGATTGTGTGACCCAATGGTTCTATATACCTGCCAGGTGCTAACTAATTGTAAAGGTCTGGATATTTTCAATTCATAATAACTTCTTAGGCTACCTATACTTTGGCAGAAGTTTATTTAATGTAAGTTGTCTAAATAGAAGCCAGTTTGTATTTCTATCCATTTCTGGACCTCAGCACAACAGACATTTAGGGATAGGTAAGTCTTTGTTGTGGGGTCTGTCACGTGATGAGTTCTGTCCCTTTCCTGCACCCATTCAATGGCCAGTAGTGCCTATCTCCTGTTTTCCTTTGAGAATCAAGGTTTGTGTGGTAAGTGTTCTCTTAAAGGCTAAAGTTGCCAACTCAAAAATGCATACTGGCTGGGATTGGTAGCTCATGCCTGTAATCCCAAAGCTTTGGGAGGATCACTTGCATCCAGGTCCAGGAGTTTAAGACCAGCCTGGGCACGATAGCAAGACCCCCATCTTCTGAGGGTAAAAAAAAGTTAGCCAGGTGTGGTCCCACTTACTGGGGAGGTTGAGGTAAAAGGATCCCTTTGAGCCCAGGAGTTACGATGTACTGCACTTCAGCCTGGACAACAGCAAGACCCTGTTTAAAAAAAAAAAAAATGCATCCTGAGTCTCGGTTTCAGTGGAAGGCTTGCTGTCTGTTGTACAACTCGGGAATTTAATGTTTGTTGATACAGGATGGATCCCTATAATGCAATGGTAACTTATTTGTACTGGTAACACTGAGACAGTTTGGTTTCAAGCAGGATTTGGGTATCGTATCTTTGGAGCTCAATTCAGGGAGAGGTGGTTCACTTGATAACACTCTTATTAAGGCACACTCTTTAAAGAAATCAGTGATGTGTAAGTAATTAACAATTCCCTTTTACTATATTGCCAGTCTTTCCATTCAAGGATTTCTAGTGGGAGAAGTCCTTAAGTAAGATTTCCTATTTCAGTAACACTTTTGACAATTTGTTCCCGTGTATAAATACATGTAGAACAACTTAGATACTTTTTGGCCAGTAGTAGTACATTTCTACCTTCAATAAAGCAACACATTGAGTTATTTACATTTTTAATGTAACTTTAAAATCCTGGATCCCAAGAAGTCTTGGCTTCAATGTGCTTTTCTTCATAACAAACAATTATATCTCCTACTTTGAATTCTATATTTTCTTCATCTAAACTGAGACCACAATCCATTCCAGTTTTGACAATTGAAATGTCATCTTTATGGTGTTTCAGTGAGGTTAATAAGCCTTAAAAAAATAATTTAAGGTTAGTATATTGAATAAATGACAAGTACCTACTAAACATTACATTGTATGGTGTTACCAGAAAATTACTCTGAAATTCTTAATTTTATGGTCCCCTCATGTTAAATGATGGGACTAAATACCAGGGGAACCCCCTCAAATATCTTAAATCTATTTCAAAGGTAGATGCCAACTTTTTTCTGAGGACAGGATAATACTCAGGACTTGAATGGGTAAAACCAACATAAACATCTCAGGCAAAGGGAGCCCATCAACTGTAGACAAGTTAGGAGTTATAGCAATAAATGGCCTGAGCTGAGATGGGCATGAAAGATGAACAGATTTCAGACGATTATATGGTCAACAGGTTTTGGATATACTATTATAGAAGGAGATTTTCATGTTGCTTACCCTTCCAAATTACATGTCCATTACGGATTAATTTAAAATTTTTTTGTTTTTCTAACTGTCCTTTTTGGACTCTGCAGCCAGCCACAGGAACTTTTTTCTTCCCTTCTGTTACAGAGAAAATAGCTAGTATAGACGCTTCACCTTTAGGAATAAGAAAACATTTAATGTGCAGAAAACTAAACTAAAGAGTCTGAGAAATGTGCAATTTCTGACATTCTGTAGTGTAAGGATTAAAGGTATGACCAAAATCCAAATTCACGCATAGAAAAAAGTCTGGGTTTCTTTAACTCCAACTTTATTTTCCTCACCAATATTAAGAATACAAAGGCATGAAACTCTTCAGCTATACTTTTTTTTTTTTTCTGAGATGGAGTCTCACTCTGTCATCCAGGCTGGAGTGCAGTGGCATAATCATAGCTCAATATACCCTCAAGCTCCTGGGCTCAAGCAGTCCTCCTGGATAGCTAAGACTACAGGTGTATGCCACCATGCCCAACTCATTTTTTTTTTAGCTTTTTTGTTTTGGAGGCTAGTCTTAAATTCTTGGCCTCAAGCGGTGTTCCTACCTCAGCATCCGGAAGTGCTGGGATGACACACATGAGCCACTGTGCCTGGCCTCGTTTTTCATCTTGCCATAAGTAATTTATATCTACTTAGGAGTAATAATTTTGAGTCTGGTTTATCTGCCCCCCTGCCCCCCTCAGATGGAGTTTCCTTCTTGTTGCCCAGACTGGAGTGCAATGGCTCCATCTCGGCTCACTGCAACCTCGTCTCCCGGGTTCAAGCAATTCTGCCTCAGCCTCCTGAGTAGCTGGGATTACAGGCATGCGCTACGATGCCTGGCTAATTTGTACTTTTAGTAGAGACAAGGTTTCTCCGTGTTGGATAGGCTGGTCTCAAACTCCCAACCTCAAGTGATCCCTCCACCTTGGCCTCCCAAAGTGCTGAGATTACAGGTGTGACCACCGTGCCTAGCTGAGTCTGTTTTTTTCACTGACTTAAAACATATTCCAATAATGAAGTAACACACACTAAAATGAACCAAATTTCTAGGGTGCTGTTTGTTAGTGTTATCTGACTGGTGTGTTTGCTTAATCCTAGAAGCCCACATATAACTCGGTTTTCCAAATTGCTCTTAGCACAAGAACATAAAAATGTCTGTACAATCATGTTGAACAGGTCAGAAAAAACTAAAATAATCTGTCACTTAGGCCAAAAATGCAAAATCAAATCTCACTGGAAACACTGGACAAATCCAAATTAAGGTACATTCCATAAAATAGCTGGCCAATATGCTTCAAAATGTCAAGGTCAAAAAAGAAAAAAATTGGCCAGGTATGGTGGCTCACACCTGTAATCCCAGCACTTTGAGAGGCCAAGGAGGGCAGATCATGAGGTCAGGAGTCTGAGGCCATCCTGGCCAACATGGTGAAACCTCGTGTCTACTAAAAATGCAAACAAAAATAGCTGGGCATGGTAGCACATGTCTGTAATCCCAGCTAATCGGGAGGCTAAGGCAGGAGAATGGCTTGAACCCAGGAGGCAGAGGTTGCAGTGAGCCGAGATTGCACCACTGCACTCCAGCCTGGTGACAGAGTAAGACTCCATCTCAAAGACAAAAATTGAAGAACTGTTCCAGATTAAATGGAACTAGAGAGAGATGACAACATGGATATATTATAATCCATGATCCTAGACTAGGGTAAAAAAGGATATTGTTGGGACAATGGACAAAATGTGAATATGGACTGTATATTAGATAACAGCATTGTATAAATAAATGTTAAATTTCCTGAGTTTGCTCAGTTCTATGGTTTTGTAAGATAGTATCCTTGTGCTAAGCAGATGTACATATTTCGAGGAAAATGGGCACAGTATCTCAAACATTCTCAAATGGTCCAGGGAAAAAAAATCGTGTGTATATGGAGCAGGACAAAAATGAGGCAAATAGGACAAAATGTAAACACCTGGTGAATTAAATAAAAGATACACAGGAATTCCTTGTATTTCCCTTGCAATTTTTTCTGGAAATTTAAAACTGTTATCGGGCCAGGCACAGTGGCTCACACCTGTAATCCCAGCACTTTGGGAGGCTGAGGTGTGCAGATCACCCAAGGTCAGGAGTTCAAGACCAGCCTGGCCAACATGGTGAAACATTGTTTCTACTAAAAATACAAAAATTAGCCAGGTGTGATGGTTGGCACCTGTAATCCCAGCTATTTTGGGAGGCAGGAGAATTACTTGAACCTAGGAGGCGGAGGCTGCAGTGAGTCAAGATTGTGCCATTGCTCTCCAGCCTGGGCAACAAGAGCAAAACTCCGTCTTAAAAGAAAAAAAAAAAAGAACTATTATTAAAATTAAAAGTTAACAAAAATATCTTCATGGGGAGGAAAAAAGAACAGATAAGGTGACTTAACCAATTTTAAATAAACTCGGTCTTTACTCTGGCCACAATATACTAAACACAATTTTTTTTTTTTTAAGAGACGGGGTTTCACCATGTTGACCAGGGTGTTTTGATCTCTTGACCTGGTGATCCACCCACCTCGGCCCCCCAAAGTGCTGGGATTATAGGCGTGAGCCACTATGCTCGGCCAAAAACAATATTTTTAAATATTATATATGTATTTTTCTTTTTGTTTGAGATGGGAGTCTCGCTCTGTCGCCCAGGCTGGAGTGCAGTGGCATGACCTTCACCTCCCAGCTTCTAGCAATTCTGCCTCAGCCTCCTGAGCAGCTGGGATTACAGGTGCATGCTACCATGCTTGGCTAATTTTTGTATTTTTAGTAGAGATGGGGTTTCACCATGTTGGTCAGGCTGGTCTCAAACTCCTGACCTGGTGATCCGTCTGCCTTGGACTCCCAAAGTGCTGGGATTACAAGCATGAGCCACCACACCAGCTGTATTTAATATTTGATATTTAAATGTAAATTTTCCTCTTGTGGTAGACTTCTCTGCCAGCCCCACGACAAAGTCAACAGCTCTTTCCATGACATTGTTCATAATCTTTATGCTTTCCATGATAACATAATCTGTTATAATTATTTGTTCCTATCTAAACTTGAGGGCAAGTTCTTAATTCTTTATTTGCCTTTGTATCCTCAAAGCATAGGCACAATGTGTTACACAGGGCAGGTGTTTACGTAAGAAGTTACAGTGGATTCTCATGGTAGTCATTTTTTTCTAGAACACAGGATATATCTTTCAACATGGAAAACAGTTCCTCTAAACTTCTCTTTCAAGTGCTATTTAAAGCAACTAAGATACTAATTTTTAAAAGTAACATTCAGTCATAACTCACCTACTGGGTGCTCTTCCACAGCACAGGGTAATCTGCTGCTCAGTTCTTCTTGCAAATCTTCAACAAGATGGTAAATTATTTTGTGAAGTTTAATTTTTACTCCTTTTTTTGCAGCTGACTGTTGGATAACATTGCCCGCATTCACATTAAAGCCATATATAACACCTAGCAAAGAGAAATATCAATGAAGTAGCATAAAGATTATATTATAATAATTTGTGTTTCAAGCAGAAACTTGAATCTAAATTGTTTTATTTTCTAAATTAAATTAAAATAGCAATTACAGGCCAGGCACAGTGGCTCACGCCTGTAATCCCAGCACTTTGGGAGGCCGAGGTGGGTGGATCACCTGAGGTCAGGAGTTCGAAATCAGCCTGGCCAATGTGGTGAAACCCGTCTCTACTAACAACACAAAATTAGCCAGGTGTGGTGGTGGACGCCTGTAATTCTAGCTACTTGGGAGGCTGAGGCAGGAGAATCACTTGAACCTGAGGCTGAGGTTCCAGTGAGCCAAGATGGCGCCACTGCACTCCAGCCTGGACAAAAAGAGCAAAACCCCATCAAAAAAAAAAAAAAAAGCAATTAGAGGAGATAAGGTCTATGATACTTTTCTCACCAAAACTAGTAAATCTTCCAATTGATGAAAGAATTTTATAAATTATATTGTGGCTTAACAAAGAAAATATCTTTGTAATTTTAAATCCATTTAAGGAACAGTAAGTAATAAGGAACGTGTAAGGCAGTACGCTAACAAAATTTGATTTTTATACCAGAGAAATAAGAACACCAAGAATGACCAGGGCTGAAATATGCTTCATTCTAGTAACAATTATATTATTAAATTATAATCTTATTGTCTACCATTTCTGTGGTTTGTACTCAGGTATTCAGATGGCCAAAAGATGCTAAAAAATTGTGACTTACAGGGGTGGAGGGAAAGATAGTGACTTAATTGGTAAAGTTCAAGAGTTATTTTTAAGAAGCAAGTTTCATGGAGCTGACCATTTTACCAGAAAAACAAGTAATGTATTTAATTGTAAATACTCTGGGAGGAAAAAAAAAGCAAAACACTCTTGCCTTAAACAAAATGTATGAAAAAAAATTAATCCAAATAGTTCAATCAAGAGAAAAACACAATGACCTTGAAAGTCCTATCATTAAGAAGTCATTCTTAATGGTAGGTCAGGCATAGTGGCTCACACCTATCTATAATTCCAGCACTCTGGAAGGCCGAGGTGGGCGGATCACCTGAGTGAGGTCAGGAGTTTGAGACCAGCCTGGCTAACATGATGAAACCCCATCTCTACTGAAAATAAAAAAGTTAGCCAGGTGTGGTGGCAGATGCCTATAATCCCAGCTACTGGGGAGGCTGGGGCAGGAGAATTGCTTGAACCTGGGAAGCATAGGTGGCAGTGAGCCAAAATCACACCATTGCACTCCAGCCTGGGTGACAAAAGAAAAATTCCATCTTAAGAAAAAAAAGAAGTCATTCAATTGGCCGGGTGCAATGGCTCATGCCTATACTCCAAGTACTTGGGAGGCCAAGGCAGATGGACCACCTAGGTCAGGAATTCAAGACCAGCCTGGCCAACATAATGAAACCCTGTCTCTACCAATAAAAAATTAGCCAGGCATGGTGGCACACACCTGTAATCCAGTTATTTGGCGGAGACTGACGCAGGAGAATCCCTTGAACCTGAGAGGCAGAGGCTGCAGTGAGCTGAGATCATGCCACTGCACTCCAGCCTGGGCGACAGAGTGAGTCTCTCTCAAAAAAAGAAAAAGTCATTCAATACACTGTCTACATTACAGCATAGTGCTAGGGCAGTCAGTGCCTACCAAATACTTTTAATCAATCAGTTAGATGTCACTTCTATCCTTTTCAGTACTAGAGGTGACATTTAACTCTAATCAAGTCAGGATTTCAAAGAGTATCTTTCCTAAATGATTCATAATCACTCAACAATGTTGTTGTTTTACTAGGTGTTCGATCATCACTCAACAGTGTTGTTGTTTTACTAGGTGTTCGATCATCACTCAACAGTGTTGTTGTTTTACTAGGTGTTCGACCATGCAACAGTCATGAATCCCCCTTTTAGTGTATCATAAGTTCAACTAATAAAGACAGTTCCTTGCCTTCTAGGCCTGTAAAGCTAAAAGGACCTTTTGCTCTAAAAAGATATGACGTTTGAAGTTATCAATTACTAAAGATAGGTAGCCAAAAGTAAAAGATGAAGGAAAGAACCAAATAGGCTGATTACAGTGTTAGAAACATTCAGAAGTCTAATGAAAGACAGGAGAATCAACCTTGGGATGGTAAAGAACTAGGAGGAGTAGGGAAAGGGGGCAGTAATGGTACTTTAAAAAAACAAAAGATAGAGAAACAAACAAACAAACAAAAAAAGGAGAAACATGACCAGGTCTTGAAATAGTTCCCCAAAATTGCAATACAACCACAACAAATGGAGCTATGGCCACAATACTGCACATCCTATTCGTTTCAACTGCTAGCTGGGACTGGACTATGGCAGGAAGGATGATGCTGATGGGAGTAAATGTCAGGTGTGACAAGCCAAGCAACAACACAGAAGCAGATGGTTCAGTGTTATTTGGAGAACAGAGATTAACAAGAAGAAATGGAATCCTTACCACAAAATGTTTCAGCAAGGTTAACATCATTTGCACTTATATCACCCACTCCAAAATGTATTAATTCTAGTTCACATTCATGTGAAGCATCATAGGTATCTATGATGTTCAAAATGGCCTCAACAGAACCATCAACATCACCTAAATACAAAAAAAGTTTACAATTGTTGGGTCTTAAGAATTAGACATCAGCAGACATAAAAATGACAATAATTTAAAGCCATGATAGGAATGTCATTTACCACTAAATCCACTTTTATTTAGGCTTAGCATTACAAATACTTACTTGACTTAATAGCATTAATCAGCCAAACATACATTTACAACAAAATCAGCAAGAAATATGTTGACTAAGAATATCTCTTCTAAAATACTGAAATAATTTTCATGTAAATGTAAAGGGCCAAACTAATCATGAGAATTAAAAAAACACATATTCAAAGAATGAACTGTAAAGTAAAATCTTTAAAAACATACCTTTAATAATCACAGGAAGTACATTTGAATCTCTTTCCATTTTCTCTTTTGGCCTTAAGAATGTTTGTCCTTTTCCTTCTAAATACTTTCGATATGCTCTCTCCTTCCACTGCATGTTGCCATACTTCTCACGGGCTTTCCAATGTGCTGCTTGGTGTTCCTTTCGCTTTTCTTCAATTATTTTCATATCCTCTTGACTTTTCTCCTGTTCTTGTTCATACTTCCTCCAGTCAACAACTTCACGTGCCCTTTGCTTTACAGGGGAAAAATGCATTATTTAATGAAATAGATACCAGTAACTGCTAGATTAAAGCCTTTATGTTTTCCCCCATTAGGAAACTAGCTTAACTCACGTAAGAAACAACTACTTTTATAAGTTTTAAGAAACATGTAAAATTTTGAGAGCTTTGAAATGATTTAAAAAATCTTATTCCCCACCAAAATTCTATAGTCTAAGGCTAACATAGCACAACTTGCCCCCTCACAACCCCTTATAATCTAAATTATTTGTTAACATTAAAACACATATTTGGTATAACACTGTAAATTGACATTTAAAATCATTATATTATATCTAATATATAGGAATTAAGCTTGATATACCTCAGATTCGACTTCAAGAATTTCTTCTCCTGCCGAAGGAAGGTTTCTCCAGCCTGTAATTCCCACTGGCATGCTGGGATAGGCCTCATCAATTGTTTTTCCATTTTCATCAAACATTAAGCGAACTTTTGCCCAACTTTTTCCAGCAACCAGAACAGAGCCTTTTCTTAAAGTTCCTCTTTGAATTATAGCTGTAGTAACAGGACTGAATCAAAATAAAAGTATATTTTAATGTCATAATCAAGATGTAATTGTACTTTAAGTAGAGCAAAGATATCTTTATGAAGTTTAAATTATATAAACATGTGTGTACACAAGGTTAATTCCACCACTTCTCAACTTCTTAAGCAGTTTTTCATACTATAAAAACATTTCAAAGCTGGGTGCAGTGGCATACCCACAATCCCAGCTATTCAGCAGGCTAAGGCAAGAGAATCACTTGAGCCCATGAATTCAAAGTCAGCCTATCAAGATCTTTTAAAAAAAATTTTATTTGCAATACCAAGAGGTGGAAGCAACCCAAATGTCCATCAAGACAAATGGACATTACTTCCAAAGAAAATGTAGATTTTACAAACAAAGGAATATTATAGAGTCTTTAAAAAGAAGAAAATTGGCAGATGTATGTGGTGGCTCATGCCTGTAATCCCAACACTTTGGGAAGCTGAGGCAGGTGGATTACCTGAGGTCAGGAGTTCGAGACCAGCCTGGCCAACATAAAACCCCATCGCTACTAGAAATACAAAAAGCAGCCAGGTGTGGTGGCATGTGCCTATAGTCCCAGCTACTCAAGAGGCTGAGACAGGAGAATTGCTTGAACTTGGGAGGCAGAGGTTGCAGTGGGGCGAGATCGCACCACTGCACTCCAGCCTGGGTGACAGAGGGAGACTCGATTTCAGAAAAAATAAAATAAAAAATAAATTTTTTAAAAAAGAAATTCTGTCACAGGCTACAGCATGAATGTAACTCTAGAACATTATGCAAAATGAAACAAACCAGTTATCAAAGCATACATACTGCATGATTCCACTCATATGAAGTATGTAAAGTATGCACAAATTAAAAACAGAAAACAGGGCCAGGCATGGTGGCTCACACGTGTAATCCTAGCATTTTGGGAGGCCAAGGTGGGTGGATCACAGAGGTCAGGAGTCTGATACTGGCATGACCAACATGGCAAAACCCCATCTCCACTAAAAATACAAAAATTAGCCAGGCATGGTGGCAGACGCGTGTAATCCCAGCTACTTGTGAGGCTGAGACAAGAGAATCACTTGAACCCAGGGGGATGGAGGCTGCAGTGAGCCAAGATGGAGGCCACTTCACTCCAGCCTGGGCAAAAAAGTGAAACTCCGTCTCAAAAACAGCAACAACAACAATAGAAAACAGAAAGGTAGTTGCCAAGGGCTTGGGACAGGGACAAGGAGATACTAGTGTTTAACAGGTATAGAGTTTAAAGTGTTCTGACAGAATCTTAACCCACTTTCTATGCCACTGTCCATCTACTAAGGAATTACTCACAGTTGTTAGAGAGTATAAAGCAATGAGAAAACCTCTCTTGCAGCTACATAGGAAAATTCAAGAACACCACTTCAAAGACCTTTCTGCATATTATATTAATGGGCAAGGTCATAAAGAATTTACAAACCCTAAAACGCAACTATTGGTATTTCATTCTAATTTATGTTATCTATAAGATTTTACCAATTCAGTTGAGTCAGTGCGGGGGAAAAAAAATCAAGCAAATTTAACTACTTATGTCATCTAAATATGGCTACTAGATGTATACAGATAGTTGTTACGGTCTACTGATAATAACTGCATTTTTGTGTTCTTGTGTTAGTACAAACAATAATATACTTTTTAAAACAAATGCTTTGAAAATATTGTTCATGAATTAATAATAACATGCAACAAAAATAATATATAATCAAGTCACAAAAACCACGAAACAAATTAAAAAGGCAAGCATTTTAAGAGTCCTACCCTCTTCCTTTGTCTGTGAAAGACTCTATTACTGTTCCTTCCACTGGACCAGTTGGATCTGCTTTCAGTTCTAACATTTCTGCAAGAGCAATTGTTGCTTCTGCCAAAGCCATCAGATTATCACCCTTTAACAATAACAAATGTTGTTAATACACATTAATAAATACTATCTATAAATCACCCTTTAACAATAACAAATGTTGTTAATACACATTAATAAATACTATCTATAAATGAAATGCCAAGGACAGAAAGTCACATAATCTATGCAAGTTATATTACACTTTTCCCGTTAAGCATTAAAAGCATGATTATCCAATTTAAAAAAAAAAAAAGGTAGGGAGGGAGGGGAAAACAAAAGAAAAAAGATAATGGGAAGAATGGAAGGGAGGGAGGGATCAACAAGAAAACCTGAGCCACAGACAGATCTTGTACGGAACAAGTGGCTACTTTTTTTAAAGGATGACCACTGGTGGTGCTTGTTACTAACCCTTTCATAAACACATGCTTCATTCATTTTCTTTCTTCTCCATCTATCTCTACAATTGTGTTTGCTTCCTCTTGCTTTCTTTTTTTAAGTTCTATCCAACTGAACAAGATTGCACATCTATTATTTCATTTGATCCACTCAAGAATCCTATAAAGTAAATCAAGCTACCCTTATTAAATAAATGAGGAGAAAAAGTACTAACTAGAGATTCAAGCTCTAAGCTGTACTTTGTAACCACCCAGCTGTGTGGCCTTAAAAAAAAAAAAATCACCTCATTTCCCTGAATCTCCTTATCTCAACTGTAAAATGAAAAAGCTGAAGTAGGTGATTCTTTTATCTTTCATGGTCTGTGTTTACTATGTTCTCTAGGGCTCCAAGATCACACAGCTGATTAACTGGTGATGGAACTGGAACTGATAGGCAAGGAATTTTTCCACTCCTTGTATCAGCTAAGAGATTGCTCACAGTTGTTAACGAGTATAAAACAACAAAGGCCAAGCACTGTGGCTCATCCCTGTAATCCCAGCACTTTGGGAGGTTGAGACAGGCAGATCACTTGAGGTTAGGAGTTCAAGACAGCCTGGCCAACATGGTGAAAGCCTGTCTCCACTGAAAATACAAAAAATTAGCTGGGTGTGGTGGTGACACATGCCTGTAATCCCAGCTATTTGGGACGCTGAGGCAGGAAAATCGCTTGAACCCGGACGTGGAGGTTGCAGTGTGAGCCAAGATTGCACCACTGCACTCCAGGCTGGGAGACAGAGCAAGACTTTGTTTCAAAAAATAAAAAAATAAAACAATAAACAACTTAAAAAAATAAAAAAGAATTGACTACATACTTTGCTTACCCACCCACTTATTCCTAGTATTTATTCCAGTTTACAAAATGCTGTTCCAAAAAGCAGAACTGGAGTTGTTTCCTTGCATAAAGTAATCCTTTACATATCTTGGAAAAGAAGACCTCATCTCACCACCCTGCTTCTCTCTTCCAATCTCCTCCATTCCCTTGGAATCCTCTCGGACATGCCTCCAAATCTGCCTAAGCAGTTTTACATCTACCTGCTCATCTGATGTTATCTAGCCAGAAAAGGTGGTCAACCCTTCAAATATTTTAATTAATTAATTAATTTAAGACAAGGTCTCACTTGGTGCAGTGGCATCATCTCAACTCACTGTAACCTCCACCTCCCTGGTTCAAGTGGTCCTCCAACCTCAGCCTCTCCTAAAGCTAGGACTACAGGCACCTGCCACCAAGCCAGGCTAATTTTCATGTTTTCGTAGAGATGAGGTCTCACCACGTGGCTCAAGCTGGTCTTGAACTCCTGGGCTCAAGGGTGCCAACCACCTCAGCATCCCGAAGTGCTAATATTGTAAGCGTGAGTCACTGCACCTGGCCAAATATTTTAATCTTATTGTAGTAAACTTAACATTTGGCATTCAGAGTGCAGTAACAATTGAGGTATAGTGCAGAAAATAACAAAGTAAGGTAGCATTTTATAAATTTCAGAGAAAAAGATGCACAGTTTTACCATTTGGAGGCATAATTTCTAGGTATCCTGGAAGTAACACATTTAGGAAAAGTAAAGATAAAATGAGATTTAATTGGAGGAAGGTGGTAGAGTAACACATCATCCCTTCAGTGAATAATCAGAAGAAAGAAGAAAGGCTATTTATAAACAAACTTTGTAGTATAGGTGGACAAAAACGAAACAGTTACTTAGCAGCAACCTCTATAGGATAAGAGAACTGGAAAATGGTGACATGAGGCAAGTAATGAGTTCCGTTGGTGTTTATATATTCAAGCAAGAATAATCGGTAATTTTAAAGCAAATGAAATTCATCATAAATAACATTTTAAAACATATAGCAATTTAATCCACAGAAACATACAGTCAATCAATAACAAAATCAACCTAAACATTTAATCTTGATATTCATAAAATTTTTGTTTAAATCTCTTAAATGTTGTAAGGCCTGTTTTCCACTTGTAAGAGGCATGAAATACAAGCACTTTTTTATTAACAACTGGATTTAATTTCTGCTTAAAAGTCTTTGCTGAGGCATAGTGGCTCACACTTATAATCCCAGGGCTTTGGGAGGCTGAGGTGGGATGACGGCTTGAGGCCAGGTGTTCAAGACCAGCCAAAGCAACATAGTGAGACCCTATCCCTATTAAAAAAAATGTTAAAATTAGCTAGGCATGGGGTGGCACCTGCCTGTAGCTCCAGCTACTCAAAACGCTGAGGTGGGAGGACAACTTGAGCTTTGGAGGTCAAGGCTGCAGTGAGCTGTGATCGCATCTCTTTATTCTACTATTTCCCTATCCCTACATCATTCACCACTTATTCTCTTCCTAAGTATCTCATAATAAAAAATGTATTCCATTAAGAGTTGACTCCACACTGATCAGCTGGTGACTGACCTCTCTGAGCCTAACTCCTAATATGCCAAACCAAGATAATACCATCTTTGCCTGGTACCCAGAAAACTTGTTGAAAACAACAAAATATGTACATCAAAATGTTCTTTAGATGTAATGTACTGTGTGCATTATGTACAGCATTCCCATCCAGGCATATTCATATGAGGTCCCCATATTTACCGTAAGTGCAGAGACAGGCACTGCCTGAATATCACCTCCATAATCTTCACACACCAAATCATAAGCCAGTAGTTCTTTTTTCACTTTCTCAGGATCAGCCTCAGCTTTGTCACATTTATTTATGGCAAGGACAATAGGAACTGAAAGAAACAGAGTTAAAAAGAGTGAAAATGATGATAGCTTCAATTCCAGGTATTCATAGTAAAAGACACCAACTTTCTCTTCTGGCTTTCTCTTTACTCAGCGGATGTTTTTATCTAACAAAAAGGCCAAAAAGACCCATTTCAGAGTCATACCACCCTGCTCTTCTCTCTACACGTAGAGAAATCCAAATGCAAGATACAAGATATTAAAAGTATAATTATAAGCAGATTCTGAATGAATAACAGACACCTGAGCTTACCAAAAAAACAATATAGTTGGGCTAGCTGTGGTAGCCCATGCCTATAATCCTACCACTTCAGGAAGCTGAGGCAGGTGGATCACCTGAGATTAGGAGTTTGAGACCAGCCTGGCCAACATGGAGAAACCCCATCTCTACTAAAAATACAAAAATTAGCCAGGCATGGTGGCGCCTGTCATCCCAGCTACTTGTGAGGCTGAGGCAGGAGAATCGTTTGAACTGTGAAGGCAGAGGTTGCAGTGAGCCGACATCGCACCACTGCACTCCAGCCTAGGTGACAGAGCCAGATCTCAAAAAAAAAAAAAACAAAAAAAAAAAACTGTTTTTTAATCCCTAGGTATACTAGTAGATTAGTTTCAGGACCCCCACCACTGCCTATACCAAAATCTCAGCATACTCAAGTCTTGCAGCCAGCCCTGCAGAACCGTGTGTACAAAAAGTCATGTAAGAAAGTCTCAAATTCTGTGAATACTGTATTTTTTATCTATGCTTGATTGAAAAAAGGGTGTGTTAAGTGGACCCACACAGTTCAAACCCATGATGTCCAAGGGTCAACTGTATTTTGGGTAGAAAAAGGTCTATCTTTAACCTAAAAGCAAGATTAGTAAGTACACTGGAGATAAAAAAAATCATAACAAGATTCTAATTCAATACTGTTATATCATTTGCCTCTTCTTTCCAGGGTTTATTAACTCATTGTTAAAACCCAACATTTCATCCTAGGTTGAAACTAAATACCATTATCACAAATTTTCCTTTAGGATTTATATTATTTATTGATACACCTAGCTCAGTGACCAACACATGGTAGGTTCTCAATAAATGTTTACTTAATGAATGAACCAAGTAATCTTTTAATCTACTTGTTATCACTAGACATATCCTCTTTTTAGAGAAATCACACAGAATTCTACGAGATAATTCTGTGGCTGCATTTCATCATCTCTGCAATTTTCTGAGATATCAAAGGAACAGAAATTTTAAAAGATACAAACAAGTTTTGCAATCCACGACCTACTATTATGAAAAAGTACATTCTGGCCAGGCACAGTGGCTCACACCTGTAATCTCACATCTTTGGGAGGCTCAGGCGGACGGATCACCTGAGGTCAGAAGTTCAAGACCAGCCTGACCAATATGAAGAAACCCCATCTAAAAATATAAAATTAGCCAGGTGTGGTGTCACATGCCTGTAATCCAGCTACTCAGGAGGTTGGGCAGGAGAATTGCTTGAACCCAGGAGGCAGAGACTGCAATGAGCTGAGATCACGCCATGGCACTCCAGCCTGGGTGACAAGAAAAAAACTCTGTCTCAAAAAAAAAAAAAAAAGAAAAGAAAAAGTACATTCCTTGCTGATGAGCTGGAACATAACAGGTACCAAGAAAAGAGGTGTACAAAGCCTGATATAATGAATTTATCCTATCTCAACCAATTGCTTTGTAATGGGATCCCTGGTAAATTTATCCCTGTCTTCTTGTCATGTATTCCCTAGAACCATTAAATACATAGTATATCACACAAAGGCAGTTTTGAGGAATTAAAAAGGAAAGAGAGTAACACTGGAAGCTAGCAGATCCAAATTCCAAATGCAGACATATTGAAAATTAGCTGTATAATTGTATATAATTAGGGAGAGTTCTGGCTGCTGTCTGAGTCTTAGCTTTCATTTCTGTAAAATGAAAGAAGTGGAGCAGTTCAGTAATTCTCAACCTTTTTAAAATCTTGCCAGTAAATCTGGGGGCAATATGACACACTTCATTGGGTACATTTTCTCAGCAAGGGTAGGTGTATGGTCATTTCAGAATAAGAATGAATGTACAGAAAGTGTAAGTATATGTGCAGGTATTTATTATTACAATTTTTAAAAGAAAAATATGGGAGAAGATGGTTAAGTGATTTTCCAAAAGTTTCAATTTTATACCTTTGATCAGGTAAGAACTTATTTAAAGCAGAAAAAGAGAAAGTTTCTCTTTAGAGATGAATTCCAGATAATAAATGAACAGGAAATAACAATATAACCACTATGCAACTCCTAATGAATTTAGGTGATTGGTACATAGAATTTCATTTTTCTCTTCTTACTTTTGTATCTGTTTAAAACTTCCATGATAAAAGAGTTGAAAAAAAAAGGCATAGTAAAGATTGTACTTGTGGTCTGTACTATGGTCACAAGTCTCAAGCTGAATCCTGCTATACCCTTCCTATGAGTTTTAAGTCTATGGGAAAACAATCTTTGAGGCTTATCTGTAATACAGGTATAATAACTCTGGGACTGCAGTGAAGACTAAATAAGCTATACGTAAATGGCCCCAGAACTTTGACTTTATGTGGTAGATCAGGCATCCCCAAACTTTTTACACAGGGGGCCAGTTCACTGTCCCTCAGACCATTGGTGGGCCGCCACATATTGTGCTCCTCTCACTGACCACCAATGAAAGAGATGCCCCTTCCTGAAGTGCGGCAGGGGGCCGGATAAATGGCCTCACGGGGCCGCATGGGGCCTGTGGGCCGTAATTTGGGGACGCCTGTGGTAGATCCTTAAAAAAAAAAAAAAAAAAAAGCAACTTCCTTCCTGATCCATTAAGTCAGCCACACAGTACCTTGAGCATCTTTGGCATGCTGAATGGATTCCACAGTTTGTTTCATCACCCCGTCATCTGCAGCTACAACCAATATGACAATGTCAGTGACCTGAGCCCCTCTGGCTCTCATTGCTGAGAAAGCAGCATGTCCTGGAGTATCAAGAAAAGTTATCTTTTCCCCAGAAGGCAGAGACACTGTGGAAAGAGAAATTCAAGAACATCAAGGACTCAAACATGTACTTCCTTAATACCAAGGAATATATGTGACATTATAAAAAACCATCAATTCTTTAAAATAATTTTATTCCTTCCATTAATCTTAATCTGAAAGATATAGATCATCATTTCACAATGAAAAGTGATAAAATACCAATGAGACTTTTATGGGTTTTTTTCCATGTAATAATTTCAAACTAAAGTCTCATATTTCCAGAACATGACTACTTTCATAAATGTACCAACTGATATATCTATTCTGCAGAGAAAGCAGACCAATTGTTGTACAGACAGCCACTCTTACATTAGCAAATCAGAGCTGCACAACTCCCTGAGCCACACAAAGGCAATTTAGTAAGCAGTAGCTCAGGATTTGAGACCAATGACCTTGGGTTTAAATCCTGGCTATGCTACTTACTGGCTACATACTGTGGGCAACTTACTTAACTCGAAGAAGTATCACTTTCTTTATTTGAAAATGTAACTATTAATACCTACCTTAGAATGTTGTTGTCAAGATAAAAAAGACAAAACTTATAAGGTGCTCAGCACAGTACTGGACATATGCTAGGTGCTCGAAAATGGAACTATTTTTTAATTATTATCAGCGACATTATTGCAACCTAGCACAGGAGGGTATATAAATGTAATTAATTAATAAAAAATTTTAGATTTATTAAATCAAACTAAGAATGAGCGAGAATTAAAAGTTAAAACAATTTTCAGCCAGACACAGTGGCTCATACCTGTAATCCTAGCACTTCAGGAGGCCGAGGTGGGTGGATCACTTGAGGTAGGGGATTCAACACCAGCCTGGCCAACATGGGAAAACCCCATCCCTACTAAAAATACAAAAATTAGGGTGGCTGTGGCGGCTCACACCTGTAATCCCAGCACTTTGAGAGGCTAAGCCGGGGGGGATCACAAGGTCAGAAGTTTGAGACATGGCTGGCCAACATGGCGAAACCCTGTATCAACTAAAAATACAAAAATTAACCAGGCAAGGTGGCTCATGCCTGTAGTCCCAGCTACTCGGGAGATTGAAGCAGGAGAATTGCTTGAACCCGGGAGGTGGAGGTTGCAGTGAGCCGAGATTGGGCCACTGCACTCCAGCCTGGGCAACACGCCGAGACTTCACCTCAAAAAAAAAAAAGAGTTAACATAATTCTCTTTTTATAGAAAGTACAAAAAACACCTTTACTAACCATTTGTTCTACATTTCATCAAACCAATGGCTGTAAGTTTTAGCCTTGTCTTTTACTTCGAATTTGTGTATTTTATACTATGACATTTGGTTTAAGAAAATAGTAAGTGGGGTTCCCAAGCACATTGTAAGGTAATTTGTGTTCATACCAAGAAAGGCACCAATGTGCTGAGTGATGCCTCCAGCTTCCATTGCTGCCACTTGAGTTTTTCGAAGTTTGTCAAGTAACGTCGTTTTCCCATGATCAACATGTCCCATTATAGTAACAACTGGGAACCTTGGGGTTAATAAAGCTGGATCTGCCTGGGGCCTACAATTAACAGCAAAGGAGTTTCATTTCTTAAATATCAGAAATACTTTATAACCTGTGAATTGGTTCACAGTTATCTCTGTGAGCTACCATTAACAATAAAATCCAACATTCAGCTTTGATTAGAACTATTTCCCCCTCCTATACATACAATGACTTATAATAGACGATTTAATAACTGCCTACCCACCTGTGGTTTGCATTTTCATAAAAATGAGTAGAACTGTATCAAATTTGAAAATTCAGACCACATAATAATTCAGCAAATCTAAAAAAAAATCCTCTAAGTTTTATAACTTGAACGTATACTTTCTAGTGCTTTAAGTCCTTTGAAGAAGTTTATACACATATCTTTATTACAAAAGAAATTTTAAAGCAAATCATTCCATTAAAAAGTGTAAATATAATTATGTAGTCTCCTCCAACCCCTGCCAGTATACACAGTTGTTTTACCTTCTTACAGCATCTTTATTTTTTCTGACTTTGTCCTGTTTTACTTTACTCCACTTTAACTTCAACCCTGCTTTCTTTATCACTTCTTTGATCCAGACTTCATCTAAAGGTGAGTCTGCTTCCAGTGAATCTATGTCAACAGCAGTGTTCAACAAAGCTTCATATACAAAATCTGGTTGGAATAAAATAAAACTTATTGGGATCATTAATTAAATGCTCCAGAAAGTAACCTCTATTAATGCCTATATAAACAGCACACTCAATGACAGAACTATGCAAACTGTTTCTCTAATATTAAAAAATCACAAAGAAGCTAAAAAATGTTTTTAGATTTTTAAAAATATGATACATTTCTATTAACTGACTTCTACATATTCACAAATATTTGAATATTTATATATTTCTAAGCCATCTGAATCATCAACAAAACATTAAACTGCATGTTGTATAAATTTAGTATTTATAATAATTGATTGTAGTCTATTTATCTGAAAATTTAAGGTCACAAATGTCCTGTATATACGAATGTGTATGTGTATATACAATCAATTCCCATTATTTGCAATAATTATGTTCTTTTTTTTTTTTTTTTGAGATGGAGTTTCGCTCTTGTTACCCAGGCTGGAGTGCAATGGCGCGATCTCGGCTCACCGCAACCTCCGCCTCCTGGGTTCAGGCAATTCTCCTGCCTCAGCCTCCTGAGTAGCTGGGATTACAGGCACACACCACCACGCCCAGCTAATTTTTTTTTTTTTTGTATTTTTAGTAGAGACGGGGTTTCACCATGTTGACCAGGTTGGTCTCGATCTCTCGACCTCGTGATCCACCCGCCTCGGCCTCCCAAAGTGCTGGGATTACAGGCTTGAGCCACCGCGCCCGGCCCAATTATGTTCTATAAAGTCACCAAAAGATCTGAATCAGCAAATATTGAACCACTGCTCTGAAAGGAAACATAGAGTTGGGTTCCTGCAAACCTTTAGACACACTTCATCAACTGATCAATACATAATTTTGTTTTATGCATTTCTGTTTAAAGACTCTTTATATGTATATATATCGTTTATTTATTAAGATTGAACTCATCGCCAATCATACTATAACTCATGCCTGAACAAGCTTATCTGAGATACATATTTTCTCTGTAAGGCTTATCATAGCCTTCTTGGGCTTAGGAACACTAGATAGGACTTCAGTACCACATTTAGGAGCCATCTTGAACAGCAAAATTACCAACAAAAAGCATAAAAATGTGAAAAAGTGTTTCACTAAACAGAACACAAAAAGGATACTTGTTTGCAATGCAAGAGCTGAAGAAGAGTGTCACGTCATTCAACCTCAGCTTCAGAACATGCACAACAGACAACTCAAATTTTTCACTGTTCTGCACATGGCCAGTAATAACTGCAAGGGAACCTTGAGTACTAATATTTTTTTTGGTGGGTGGGGGAACAGAGTTTTGCTCTTGTCACCCAGGCTGGAGTACAGTAGCTTGATCTCAGCTCACTGCAACCTCTGCCTCCCAGGTTCAAGCAATTCTCTTGCCTCAGCCTCCAGAGTGGCTGGGACTACAAGTGCACACCACCATCCCTGGATAATTTCTGCATTTTTATTAGAGACGGGGTTTCACAATGCTGGCCAGGCTGGTCTCAGACTTTTGACCTCAGGTAATCTGCCTGCCTTGGCCTCCCAAAGTGCTGGAATTATGGGCATAGCCACCACACCCAGCAAGTACTGATTTTTGAGCTGCAAATACATTTTGATAAGCAGGTGAATTTTCAAATACAGAATCGACACATAAAATAAATAAATAATTCATGCATAATGAGAACTGACAGTATGTACACACACACCAACACACCCACAATATGTATCTCTGAATACATGTATCCATAATTCATTTACTTGTTTATGTATCTATTTACAGTGCCCAAGTCTTTATTTTTTATTAAAAAAATTTTTTTTTGAGACAGGGTCTTGCACTGTTGCCCAGGTTAGAGTGCAGTGGCACAATCCTAACTCACTGCAGCAGCCCCAAATTCCTAGGCTCAAGCAATCCTCCTACCTTGGCCTCCATTATAGCTGGGACCACAGGTGCCACCACCACACGCTATTAATTTTTTGTAGAGAAGGGGGCTTGACATGTTGCCCAGGTTAGTTTTGAACTCCTGGCTCAAGCAATCCTCCCACCTTGGCTTCCCAAAGTTCTGGAATTACAGGTATAAGATACTGCACTTAACCCAAAAACTCTTGAAATATAGGAAAAATATTTACTTATTCTCTTTTTCATTTTATTTAATGTGCTTTGTTTTAATCTCAGTCATGTTTCCCTGTGGATGATAAACAGGCAATCCTCCTATCTCAGCCTCCTAAGAAGCAGGAACTAGAGGCTCACATCACCACACTCAGTTAATTTTTGTATTTTTTTGTAAAGACGGGACTTCACCATGTGGCCAAGGCTGATCTCAAACTCCTGGACTCAAGCGTTATGTTCGCCCCAGTCTCCAAAAGTGCTGGGATTATAGGCATGAGCCACTGCACCCAGCCAGTGAAGAGTTTCTACTACCTTTATGACTAAATGGTTGTGTTTAATGGACAGCTCACATAGTTCCTTATAACTTAGCAATAAGCTCACAAGCAGATGCAAGTCAGTACCAGCAAGCCACTGATCTTACTCCACAATAATGCCAAGAAACCATTTCCTGTTTATGTCCCCACCACATGCTTTCTGAAGGAAACACATTTTTAGAATGGTACAACTCAAATTTACCATGTGAATATGCTCTCAGAGAACTATAAAACTATTTCAAAACAAAAATTACTGAGTAGGCCAGGAATGGTGGCTCACACCTATAATCCCAGCACTTTGAGTGGCTGAGGCGGGTGGATCACCTGGGGTCAGGAGTTCAAGAACAGCCCGACCAACATGGTGAAACCCCATCTCTACTAAAAATACAAAAATTAGCCAGGTGTGGTGCACACCTGTAATTCCAGCTACTTGGGAGGCTGAGGCAGGAGAAATGCTTGAACCTGAGAAGTGGAGGTTGCAGTGAGCCGAGATTGCACCACTGCACTCCGGCCTGGGCAACAAGAGCGAAACTGTGTCTAAAAAAAAAAAAAAAAAAAAAAAATTATGAGTACAATTCTATTTCTAATAATGCTAAAAATACCTAATAATCTAGTTTTCCAATATATTATACTGAACTTCTGAGAGGTAGCTTACATAGAGAGATAATCATTTACCCTCTGTATTAAATGCATATGGTATTAATATACTATTTTATTTTTATCCAAGACTTAAATAAATATTTACATGTAGAAAAGTGTCAAACATATTGCAACAAGCTACTTAACTAACCCAGGAGAGGAGGAAGAAAACGTACTCATATCGCCAATGTATATAGTAGTTAAAAATAATTACCTCATGAAAACTATAATTCAGAAGATATATGAATATGAAATAAGCTTCAAATAGATACCTTTTGTTTGCATCACAGAAAATCAGTTTGGGGTTTAGAGTACTGCTCCATGAGACTAAATTTATATATATATTTTTTGCCTAATAATGCATAAATTTATATTCTAATCATATATTTATTAGTCAGACTAAAAGATGCTAAAATGGTTATGGGTTCCTCTATGTGTGCGGGGGCAAGGGGTAATGTTTTAAAAAAAAAAAAGGAGGGCCGGGTGTGGTGGCTCATGCCTGTAATCCAAGCACTTTGGAGGCCAAGGCGGGCGAATCACCTGGGGTCGGGAGTTCAAGACCAGCCTGACCGACATGGTGAAACCCCACCTTTTAAAAAAAAAAAAAGGAGTACTCATCTTTTAGAGATATATACTCAAGTATTTATGGATAAAATAAAATAACTGTTGTCACTAACTTATACATACATTTAAGCTTATTCCACTCTCTATCATATGTGTCTGATAATTGCTAATAATAAAAAGTTTGGCCAGGTGCAGTGGCTCATGCCTATAATCCCAGCACTATGGGATGCCAAGGTGTGCAGATTACTTGAGGTCAGGAGTTCAAGACCAGCCTGGCTCACATAGCGAAACCCCGTCTCTACTAAAAATATGAATATTAGCCGGGTGTGGTGACCCACATCTGTAATCCCAGCTACGGACGTATAAGAAGCTGAGGCATAAGAACTGCTTGAACCTCGGAGGCAGAAGTTGCAGTGAGTCAGGACCGTGCCACTGTACTCCAGCCTGGACAACAGAGCAAGATTCTGTCACAAAAAAAGTTTTAGGCTGGGCACGGTGGCTCACGCCTATAATCCCAGGACTTTGGGGGGCTGAGGAGGGTGGATCACAAGGTCAGGAATTCAAGACCAGGTCTGGCCAACATGGTGAAACCCTGTCTCTTCTAAAAATACAAAAATTAGCCAGAAATGGTGGCAGACCCCTGTAGTCCCAGCTACTTGAGAGGCTGAAGGAGGAGAATTGCTTGAATCCAGGAGGTGGAGGTTGCAATGAGCCGTGATCGCACCACTGCACTCCAGTCTGGGTGACACAGTGAGACCCCCATCTAAAAAAAAGTTCTAAAAATTAAGCCTATCATCAATACTACTTATAAAACCACACCAATACAATTTTCCTTAGAAAAATTCTTAATGATACAGCCATATCCATTTATTCTCAAAGTTTTCTAGTTATAAAATGACTGAATAATCCAACTGCAAAATTATTAAAAATGCCAGTGTTCTAATAATTTTGGACTCTTTGTAAGGATATACATATACAAAAAGCATTAACACTTCCAGGCAGGAAACACAATGAAGCTTAGCATTGCTGTGATTTACAAAATAATTCTTGAGAGATAATTTGGTTGGTGAATAAGAGCATGTGCTCTGGAGCCATATTCCCTAGGTTCAAATCCTGAATCTCCCACAAATTAGCTGTCAAATAGTGGGTAACTATCCTCTCTAAACTTTACTTTCCTGGCCTGTAAATAAGGATATCTGCCTCTACGAGAGCTAAGAAAATACTGGTACATATTAACAGCTCAACATATATGAGTTACTATTAATTCCTTTTTTCCCCAAGAGTCTGTTGCACTTCATTACAATAATAGGCTACTTCTCATATATTGAATTTTAATGTCACTTTATAATGAAAACTCAATTATGTTTCAAAAATCCTAAATTGGTAATAAATACATCACAATGAAGGGAATATAAAAATGACCATAACATGCTCCATTTATAAATAAAAATAGTATTATGACAAGTTGTATGTATTACTACCAGTATTTCTCTGCTGGCCTTACAGATATTGTCAAAATAAGTGAAAAGGTTGGGCATGGTGGTTCACGCCTGTAATCCCATCACTTTGGGAGGCTGAGGTGGGCAGATCACTTGAGGTCAGGAGTTCAAGACCAGCCTGCCCAACACAGTGAAACCCTGTCTCTACTAAAATTACAAAAATTAGCCAAGTGTGGTTGTGGGCACCTGTAATTCCTACTACTTGGGAGGCTGAGGCAGGAGAATCACTTGAACGTGGAGGCGGAGGCTGCAGCAAGCCAAGGTCGTGCCATTGCACTCCAGCCTGGGCTACAAGAGTGAAACTCCATCTCAAATAATAATAATGATAGAAAGAGTGAAAAAAAGGAAATCAGAAAATTATAGGGCCAGGCATGGTGGCTCACACCTATAATCCCAGCACTTTGGGAGGCTGAGGCAGAAGGATTGCTTGCACACAGGAGTTCAAGACCAGCCTCAACAACATAGTAAGACTCTGTCTCTCTAAAAAATAAAAAACTAGCCAGGCATGGTGGCACATGCCTGTAGTCCCAGCTACTCAGGAGGCTGAGGCTGAAGGATCACTTGAGTCCAGGAGGCCAAGGCTGCAGTGAGCCATGATTGTGCCACTACACTGGATAAAGCAAGACCCTGTCTCAAAAAAATTTTAAAAAGAAAAATAATAAAGAAAATTATAGGAAAACAAAGAGAAAGTATGTAAGTATAGCTCCTCAGTTTGAAAACATTCATTGGATTTAGTCTAATAGCCCACAAAATTTCCAAGAAAGAAATCTTCATTCATATAAGAAAATTTTTTCCACCTTCATTAAAAGCAAAATCTTAGAAAACTACATTTGGCAGAGTCAAGAAACTAACTAGGGATTATGACCTAAAGTGAAGAATACTGGGATGACTTAATGTATTTTTAAAGTATCAGCGTAGTTTTTAATCTTTCAATGTCTAAATCTCATTGCAAATAAAATGCCTAGTCTTCTAACATCCCCATATTTTGCCCTGTAAAAATACCTGACTCACCTGTGTTTTTTCCCATTGCCCTGCCCAGTTCCTCAACAGTCATTCCAAACCATACTTCTACCTCCTTTTTAGACTTTGTTGAAGATAACTGAGATTTCTGTGGTCTTTCTTCCTATTAAAAAAGGAAATAAGAACATATAATCAAAAAGGAAGAAAAAACTTAAGTGAGAACTTAGATTTATTCTGGAATGTCTACCCCAATCATAGCCACTATTTCTTTCTTTTTTTTTTAAACAGTCTTGCTCTGTCACTCAGGTTGGAGTGCAGTGGCACAATCTCAGCTCACTGTAACCTCCATCTCCTGGGTTCAAGCTGTTCTCTTGCCTCAGCCTCCCCAGTATCTGGGAGTACAAGCATGTACCACCACACCCAGCTGATTTTTGTATTTTTAGTAGAGACAGCGTTTCACCATATTGGCCAGGTCTCCAGCTCCTGGCCTCCAGTGATCCACCCATCTCGGCCTTCTAAAGCGCTGGGATAATAGGCATGAGCCACTGCACCTGGCCATAGCTACTATTTCTACCAACAAACACTCCCATAAGTTAAACCTTAGACTGAAACTAAAATCCTGCATCCTTAATTCACTGTTACACACTGAATTTCCAAGGAACCAAATTCATCAGCACCACACAATTAACCAGAACTTCCCTTTCTCACAAAGCTCTATTGCTTTGAGTACAGCATTAAGTAATAAATATTCTGTAAATGATAAAATAATCAAAATGGATTTTTACTCATGGTTCTAGGTACTTTCATCTCAAACCAAATAAAAAAATAACTTACAGAAATTTGTAACTACCTTTTTTGTTACTAGAAGCCTATGCTGAGATAAAGCAGCCCCAATGAGCACATCTGTTGGCCAGGGCCAGGGATACAGCTGAGCTGTCCACACAGGGTACGGAGATGAAAACCCATGCCTCCACTGTCTTAATGCTCTTCTTTGACACAGACTGTGCAGTTGCCTATAAATAGTGTGAAATCGTAGCAAGTTCTCCAACTTCAGTAGCTTCCGGTTCATGTTTCTCCTAGACAAAAAAAAAAAAAGGTTTTAAAATACTATTCACATCAAGTTAGCAAATATTAATTGGATATTTACTACATGCATAGCACTGGGCTACACCTAGCTCACTAGACTTACAACAATGAGTAAAACTGGGTTTCTGCCCTGAAAAAACTGAGTCTCGTCAAAAGATGGGATTCCATACCAAGTACTCTCTAGATACTAGCTATTATCATTACTGTTAATGTTACCTCTATGACAGAATTGAAATACGGTAACAACCTATAAAAGGCTCTTTTTTCACTCCTGAAATATCAGCAAACCAAATCATAACCACAGTAATTTTTCTTTTTCTTTTTTGGAGACAGAGTTTCACTCTTGTTGCCCAGGCTAGAGTGCAATGGCAGGATCTTGGCTCACCGCAACCTCTGCCACCCGGGTTCAAGTGATTCTTCTGCCTCAGCCGCCTGGAGTAGCTGGGATTACAGACATGCGCCACCACGTCCGGCTAATTTTGTATTTTTTAGTAGAGACAGGGTTTCTACACATTGGTCAGGCTAGTCTTGAACTCCTGACCTCAGGTGAGCCGCCTGCCTCGGCCTCCCAAAGTGCTGGGATTACAGGCATGAGCCACTGTGCCCAGCAACTAGAGTGATTTTTCTAAAGCCCAAATTCGAACTGATCACCTCTCTGTTAAACACCCTGCAACTTCCTTTTTGAAACGGGGTCTCACTCTATTGTCCAGGCTAGAGGCTGGAGTGCAGTGGTGCAGTCACAGCTCATTGCACCTCGACCTCTCAGGCTAAGGTGATCCTCTTACCTCAGCCTCCCAAAGAGCTGGGACTAGAGGTGTGCATCACCACGCCCAGACAATTTTTTGTTTGTTTTTTTGGTAGAGATGGTGTTTCACCATGTTGCCTAGGCTGGTCTCAAACTCCTGGGATCCAGTGATTCACCTCGGCCTCCCAAAGTGCTGAGATTATAGGCAAGAGCCACCAGGCCCAGCCTCATTTTATTTCTTACACTTTTAGAGTCTCTCCACTCCTACCTCTCAAGCTTTGGTTATTGCAATCCACCTATAATCTCTGATGGTTTGTCATCTCATCTCTGAACTTTTGCACACACTTCCTCTAGTTGTTAATTGTCTTTCAACTCCTAACACTTTTCCATCTTCCTATTTTGCCACCCCAAAAAGATGCTTTATAGTACGAAGAAGACACCCAATATTTATTGAATAATGCCTTTTGAATATTATTCTTGGAATGAAAGAAGAGTTTTTTGAGAGAAAACTATAACAGACCTCATTAGTAATATAGTTCTTTTCCTCCCCGTGGCCTCTATTGCCTCTGCTCTCAAGACTGCATTTCTATACCGTTGCTCTTCAGTTTTTAAGGGCAGGAACAAGAATAACAATGTAAGAACATGTTTTCCAGCCAGGTGTGGCGGCTCATGCCTGTAATCCCAGCTACTCAGGAGGCTGAGGCAGGAGAATAGCTTGAACCTGGAAGGCGGAGGTTGCAGTGAGCCAAGATCATGCCTTTGTACTCCAGCCTGGGTGACAAGAGCAAAACTCTGTCTCAAGCGAAAAAAAAAAAAGAGAGAAGAATGTGTTTTTTTCTTAGGAAACATTTCCTAAGTACCATATGCCAAGCTTTGTGGTTGATATTGTTGATTCAAAGTTTAATAAGCCAGGGTCCATTGCACAAACAGTTCAATGTCGTTAAAGCAAGCTTGCCAATACAATGAATCTCAGGCATACTAGATGCTAGATACAGTGACTGATTATAACCTAGGGTCGCATTTTCATTGCAATAATATGCAAAATTATTTCTATAAATTGTAAAGTCATTTCAAGGCTTTTTTGTTTGTCAGTGGAGAATACATTTTCAAGTAGTGGGCACAGCCTTTTAGACTCTTCAGATTTTCTTTTACTCACTACTCAGAAATAACTTTAGTTGACATTTTTATATCTTTTCAACTCTTTTATTTATATTTATATCTATTTTACTTACAAAAATAAATATTAATTTGGTTTTACAACTATTTACACTAAAAAATATATTGTGAATATTATTTTATATCATTAAACACTACAATCAGCCTTCTGTATCCATGGGTTCTAGATTTGTGGATCCAAACAACTGTGGATCAAAAATTTTTTAATTTTTTAAAAGGATGGTTCTGTCTATATTGAATATGTAGACATTTTTCCTCAGCATTATATCCTAAACAATACAGTATACTGTTTATACAGCATTTACTTTGTATTAGGTATTATAAGTAATCTAGAGATGATATAAAGTATACAAGGTGCTTAGGTTACGTGCAAATACACCATTTTATACAAGGGACTTGAACATCTGTAGATTTTAGTATATGGGGGTGCAGGTCCTGGAACCAATGACCCGCAGACACTGAGGGACACATATATTCTTTGGCATTACAAAAAAAAAAGAATCAAAATTATGGACTATTTCAATGTGTTTACCTTAACCATATAAAGCTATCTTGAACAAAAGTCTAAACTTTTACAAAGTCTTAAAATTTTTGTTCTGGCACGGTGGCTCACACCTGAAATCCCAGCACTTTGGGAGGCTGAGGCAGGCAGATCATTTGAGGTAAAGAGTTTGAGACCAGCCTGACCAACATAGTGAAACCCTGTTTCTACTAAAAGTAAAAAAAAAAAAAATTAGCTGGGTCTGGTGGCACATGCCTATAGTCCCAGCTACTCAGGAGGCTGAGGCAGAATTGCTTGAATCTGGCAAACAGAGGTTGCAGTGAGCCAAGATTGTGCCACTGCACTCCAGGCTGGGAGACAGAGCAAGACTCCATCTCAAAAAAAAAAAAAAATTGTAAATGATTTCTACAATATGCTTATGTTTTATATATATATATCATACATTATACAAATATATTTTTATTTTCTACTATTCTTTAAAATCGTTCACAAATGATAATATTTGATGTGACCAAAGAAACTGAGGCTCTGGATAGGTGATCTTTGCTAGCTAACTAGACATTAAATGTTACATTTCTTTTTTTTTTTGAGACAGAGTCTTGCTCTGTTGCCAGGCTGGAGTGCGGTGGCACGATCTTGGCTCACTCCAACCTCTGTCTCCAGGTGGCACTGGGATTAGCACCACCACGCCCAGCTAATTTTTGTATTTTTAGTAGAGATGGCGGTTTCACCACGTTGGCCAGGATGGTCTTGATCTCTTGACCTTGTGATCTGCCCGTCTTGGTCTCCCAAAGTGCGGGGATTATAGGCATGAGCCACGACGCCTGGCTTCTTTTTTTTTTTTTTTTCTTTTTTTTGAGATGGAGTCTCACTGTTACCCAGGTTAGAGTACAGTGGTGCTTATCAGCTCACTGCAACCTCGCCTCCCAGGTGTTTTTTTGTTGTTGAGATGGAGTTTTGCTCTTGTCACCCAGGCTGAAGTGCAGTGGCGTGATCTCGCCTCACTGCAACCTCCACCTCCCGGGTTCAAGCAATTCTCCTGCCTCAGCCTCCCGAAGAGCTGGAATTACAGGTGCCTGCCACCACGCCCAGCTATTTTTAGTAGAGATGGGGTTTCACCACGTTGGCCAGGCTGGTCTTGAACTCCAGCCTCAGGTGATCCACCCGCCTTGGCCTCCCAAAGTGCTGGGATTACAGGCATGAGGCACCGCACCCAGCCTATACTGAATATTTTTAAAAAGAAAGAAATGATAACTGAAACAGGTACGATACAGTGAAGAAATCTTACTAGGTAACAGAAGAAACTTAGATAGACACTCACTCTGATAGTAAGTGTTACCTGGACTGGGCAAGTCACTTGTTTCGTGTGGGCCTCATTTTCCCGATCTCTTGTTAAAAAATAAATAAGTCTTTGAACATCTGTCCTTCCTATTACAAGACTATGAGGAGAAAATGGGATGATATATATATACTTTATCATCAGCTATTTTAAAACCATATTACATGTTATAGTACTGGCTTATATGCTTTAAGGATTCATTGCTTATAAGTTAAAAATATTCACAAGTCATTAACTTGTTTACCTTTGGACAATTATGAGGTTGTGTATGTGTGTGTAATCGAGCAAGTATTTTACCTTAAGAAGTTTATTCAAGTAAAGGTCAACAAAAAAATCTGACTTAATGCCAATGAAATAAACACATTAAGATTTAGAAATGTAGGCCAGGCGTGGTGGCTCATGCTTGTAATCCTAGCACTTTGGGAGGCTGAGGTGGGCAGATCACCTGAGGTCAGGAGTTCCAGACCAGCCTGGCAACATGATGTAACTCTGTCTCTACTAAAAATGTAAACATTAGCCAGGCGGGGTGGTACATGCCTGTAATCTCAGCTACTCAGGAGGCTGAGGCAGGAGAACCGCTTGAACCCAGGAGGCAGAGACCACAGTGAGCCGAGATCACGCCACCGCACTCCAGCCTGGGAGAAAGAGTGAGACTCTGTCTAAAAAAAAAAAAATTTGTAGTAACCATTTACACACATTAAATACTTTTAAGAATGGCACACGGAAAAAATCTTACTTAGGTTTGTGCCCTTGGACCAAGAAGTAGAGTGCTAGGGAAACACAGGATAACTTGAGGAAATAATTTTTAAATGAGTATGAAACCAGATTTGAGAAAAGCACAGATTGATGGAATGATGGGAAGGACCCTACAGGATATTAACCAAAGCACAGATATGTAATCGAGGAAGGAACTGGCAAGACACACTGGAAGCAATAACCCAAATGTCAAAACTAGAAGGAAACTTAGTTATCACTTATTCCAAGCTCCTCTTTCTACAGAAAAGGAAAGGGAAATCCAGAGGGGTCAAAAAGACTTCTCCAATGTCATACCGCTAGTTAATGGCAGTCAAGACTAGAACCCAGTCATTCTGACCCCCAGTAAGGTGGTGTTTCGCCGCTAGGATATTCTTGGCAAGGAATCTGAAAAAAAGTATGTTGCAAATATGTAGTTGCGTTAGTGGAAATGTCTGAATGTGAGTTGGAAGCTTTGGAACTTACCTGAAAGGTGAAAAATAAATGACTGCAGAAAAATTACGGTTCTGGGGTGGCTTCGCCTCAAATCGGAGCCCAGAAGCCCTTGGGCCCAGGGTAGACTGGGACCTGAGGAATTGCACCCGCAGCGGCGCGCGAGGAGGGAAAAGCCGGCGGCTTCTGAGAAAACAGCACACATGCGTTCGTGAATACCTCACGTGGGCTCACGCAGGGATTAAATGCATCTTAGAAAGGCTTCCGAACGGGCAATGTTTATGAATTCGCGTGATTTGTGCCACTGACACGTTAGGCCAAACAACACACGCCACCTGGACTGGACGACCTAGGTTAAGGGACCCCACCCATTTCACTCCTACCTACGGCCCCAGGCCCCTGGATTCTGAGCATGGGCGGAGATCACCTTCCGGACCCGGAAGAACAGTTGGTAGGGCAGTCCGTTCCCGCCACGGTCCCCACCGGGCTTCCGGTCCCTCTAGAAAAGGTTCTTTCCGGAATTCAGAAGAGTCGCTGTCGCCCCTGGGGGTGGGACTGTCTGCGGCGTCCCCGGCGGGCGTCCGGCCTGGGAGGCGCTGGTTCATCATATGGCTCCTCCCAGGGTCAGCTTCGCATGGTGAATCATTTCTGCAGGTCCCTCCTATTTCTTATTTTCCTTTCCTTCCTTTCTCTTTCCTTCTCGTTCCTTCTTTCCTTCCTTCATTTTATCCTTTCTTTCCTCTTCCTTTCCGTCTCTTTCTTTTCTTTTTCTTTTTTTTAAAGAAAACTGCCTTTATTCAATTAGAAGCTGGAAAAATTAACTGGTACAGATAAAAAGTGTAATCAGCTGGAGAAGAGAGTGCCACCCGTGAGAACTGATGGCTCCTCTGGGAGGGAATCTGCGTACAGTGAAGATTTCTGGGAGGCAGATTACTTCTGTTCTGGGGCTGTGAGTGGCCTCGGTGGTGCTTTTACTCCAGAAAACGTTAAATGAATTGTGGGAGAAATGATACTTCCTTCAAAGATAAGTGTTCCTAACAAGAAGGAAAATAAAATGCAAGGGAACAGTGGCCGTAGAACCAGTTAGTATTGTGCGACCAGTACTTTCTCTTTTTTCCGAAGTCAGCTCCTGTGCGTGGCATTTAGAGTAACAGCCAGAGTGTTTGGGTTCCTGTACCAAATCATTCCTAGTGCGTGGTTGGGGACGTTTTGTCAACTCTCCGTGTTCCATTTTCTTCATCTACCTTATAGTAATGACAGCAGCTAGTTCATAGGATCGTAATAATTTTTTTTGAGACAGAGTCTCACTCTGTTGCCCAAGCTGGAGCACAATGGCGCGGTCTCAGCTCACTGCAACCAACTTCCACCTCCTGGGTTCAAGAGATTCTCCCGCCTCAGCCTCCCACGTAGCTGAGATTATAGGCTTACGCCCCCACACGCTGCTAATTTTGTATTTTTAGTAGAGACAGGTTTCACCATGTTGGCCAGGCTGGTCTGACTCCTGACCTAAGGTTATCCACCCACCTCTGCCTCCCAAAGTGATGGGATTATAGGCATGAGCCACTCCGTAGCTGTCATAAGCTTTTACAGGTTGATAAACTGTTGATAAATAGTGTCTGGGTCATAGTGTTTGCTGTTATAGTTATTACAGTCTGCCCCAGAGCTTTTCCTCACCTTGCTTGGACATTATGTTTTTTAGCTGGTCCTCCTGACCACAACCATCACCACCTCTCAAATATAAGTACTGTTTTATTATCTCTGTATTTTGGTAAAAGGAATTTGAAAAGAAAACAAAATTAATCAATCTTTGTCTTTAAGATCTACCAGTGCCCTAGGTTAATGGTATGGTATATAAGTTCATTACTCAAAGGAATACTTGCCTCAAAAGTATACTTGCCATCAACTGACCTCCTAACTCATGCCCTGACCCCAACCCACAACCCTCTTTTTTGTTCCCACCTTCCCAGTACCTACTATAAAGGTATGCAATCAGCGTTATTGAATGACTGAATACAAACCCCACTCCAGGAAAAAAAAAAAATTTTTTTTTGAGATGGAATCTCGAGCTGTTGCCCAGGCTGGAGTGCAATGGCACCATCTCAGTTCACTGCATCCTCCACCTCCCAGGTTCAAGCAATTCTCCTGCATCAGCCTCCTGAGTAGCTGGGATTTCAGGCATCCACCACCATGCCCAGCTAAATTTTTTTTGTTGTTTTTTGTATTTTTAGCAGAGACGGGGTTTCACCATGTTGGCCTGGCTGGTTTTGAACTCCTGACCTCAAGTGATTCTCCTGCCTCGGCCTCCCAAAGTGCTAGGATTCCAGGCATGAACCACCGTGCCCAGCCTGGACATTTTTTAAAACTGAACCTAACATGCACAACACTTGAAAACTATTGAAGTTTATTCCAATTACTATTATTTTACCTACTACTCACAGATAGCTACTGAAGTTTAATTTCTGTGAGAAGTAGTTCTTTGCTCTCTCACTTGCCTTGCAAGACAGTTGAGAAACAAGCAGAAATTGGTTGGTAAACCATCAGAATAGTTGCCAGATCTTTTTTCCACAATATTAAAGTGAAAATAATCATATATGCATTTATGTTCCTCTAATTTTCTAATCATAAAATATTTTCTAATCATGCTAATGTAGAAAATTCAAGCAATAGGCTGGGCTCGGTAGTTTACACCTGTAATCCCAGCACTTTCAGAGGCCAAGGTGGGCACATCACCTGAGGTCAGGAGTTTGAGACCAGCCTGCCCAACATGGTGAAATCTGGTCTCTACTAAAAATACAAAAAAATTAGCCAGGCATAGTGGCAAGGCGCCTGTAATCCCAGCTACTCAGGAGGCTGAGGCAGAATTGCTTGAACCTTGGAGGTGGAGGTTGCAGCAAGCTGAGTTCGTGCCTTTGCACTCCAGTCTGGCAACAAGAGCAAAACTCTGTCTAAAAAAAAGAAAAAGAAAATTCAAGCGATTTACCAAAATACAGAAAGAAAGTGACAAAAAAAAAAAAAAAAAAAAAAAAGAGAGAAAGAGGGAATGAAAACAGGTAAAGGAACAGAGAAGCCAACCTGAAAGAGCTCCCAATGGCAAAAGCTGGAAATGTTTGAGCAGCAAAGTAGCATAGTACCGGCTTATAACCCAGAAGATCAAGTTTACATGTGTTCATACTGATATAAATAATAATTGAATAAATAAATAGAGAAGGGAGAAATCTTCCTTACAGAAGAATTCAAAATTATGTATATATATATATATATATGTATATATATATATATATTCAAAAACATGCTCTTCTCTACTTACCCTGGTTGTTGTCTACTATGTGCTCTGGGTTTTGTTCACATTACATGAAACCAGTGTTTTCCCAGGCAAGCAAGCAATGTGTTCACCCATTTTATGGTTTTATTTGAAGGATATTATATTCAGTATGACCGGTTAACCGGTTATTACCTTTATATGCATATATAAAACCTTCACTAAGAAGTGAAGATTAATTCCTCTCCACCTTAGTGTGGCCTGGACTGACTGACTTCTAGAGAATACAGTATGAAGACTGGGTGCGATGGCTCACACCTGTAATCCCGGAACTTTGGGAGGCTGAGGCAGGCGGATCACCAGGTCAGGAGTTCAAGACCAGCCTGACCAACATGGTGAAACCCCATCTTTACTAAATATAGAAAAATTAGCCGGGTGTGGTGGCGCTGCATATAATCCCAGCTACTCAGGAGGCTGAGGCAGGAGAATCCCGTGAACCTGGGAGGCAGAGGTTGCAGTGAGCCAAGATCACACCATTGCACTCCAGCCTGGCAGACAGAGCAAGACTCTGTCTCAAAAAAAAAAAAAAAAAAAAAAATACAGTATGTAAAGGGGAAATAAAGTAACTACAGTGGAGAAACCTGGCAGACAACGCATTAACCAAGTGATCAAGATGAACATCACCTGCATGTCGTGTTAATATCATGGATCCCCCTGAAATGATGTGATGAGGACACTTTACTCCTGTAATATACCTTTCAGAAACCCAGAACCCTACTCTAATCATGGGGAAAACATCAGACAAACCCAAATTAAAAAGCCTTCTACAAAACACCTGACCAGAATTCTTCAAAACTGTCAAGGTTAGGAAAACCAAGAAAGGACTCAGAAACTGTTACAGATCAGAAGAGACTAAGGAGACGTGAAAATTCAGTGCAATATGGTATCCTGGATAGAATCCTGTAACAGAAAAGCACATCAGTGGGAAAACTGGTGAAATTTGAATAATGGTCTGTAGCTTAGTTAATAGTAATACCCCAATGTTAATTTCTTTATTTTCACAAGTGTATCATGGTTAATGTAAGACGTTAACAAAATTGGGTAAAGGGCATTTGGGAACTCTCCACTATCTTAGCAACTTTTCTGTAATCTAAAATTATTCCAAAATTACAAGGTTGATTTAAAAAAGAAAGGTCCAGGCATAGTGGCTCATACCTGTAATACCAGCACTTCGGGAGGCTGAGGCCAAAGGATTGCTTCAGGCCAGGAGTTTGAGACCTAGGCAGCGTGGCAAGACCCTGCTCTACAAAAAGTAAAAAACTACCTGGACATGGTGGTGCGCAGCTGTAGTTCTATGCTACTCTGGAGGCCAAGGTGGGAGGATCACTTGAATCCAGGAATTCGACCTTACAGTGAGCTATGATCATGCCACTGGACTCCATCCTGAGTGAGAGTGAGACCCTGTCTCTAAAAGGAAGGAAGGAAGGAAGGAAGGGAGGGAGGGAGGGAGGGAGGGAGGAAAGGAAGGGAGGAAATCCTAAAACACGAATAAATACACATACACATACGATGTATATTGGTGGCTCAAGCCTGTAATCCCAGCACTTTGGAAGGCGGAGGTGAGTGGATCACCTGAGGTCAGGAGTTCAAAACCATCCTGGCCAACCTGGTGAAACCCCCTTTCTACTAAACATACAAAAATTAGCCAGGCATGGTAAGAGGTGCCTATAATCCCAGCTATTCTGGAGGTCAAGGCAGGAAAATCACTTGAACCCAGGTGGCAGAGGCTGCAGTGAGCTGAGATTGTGCGACTGCCCTCCAGCCTGGGCAACAGGGCAAGACTCTGTCTCAATAATAATGATAATAAATACACATATGGCTACAATTTTTTATAAATAGGATTCATAAAATAAATGCTACCTTTTGTCTTTTTAACAGTATGTAATGGAAATTGACCAGGTGCAGTGGCTCATGCCTGTAATCCCAGCACTTTGGGAGGCCAAGGCTGAAGGATCACTTGAGGCTAGGAGTTCAAAGCTAGCCTGGCCAAAATGGCAAAACCCTGTCTCTACTAAAAATACAAAAATTAGCTGGGTGTGGTGGCACGTACCTGTAGTCCCATCTACTTGGGAGGCTGAGGTGAAGATTGCCTAGGAGGCTGAGGTTGCAGTGAGCTGAGATTGTGCCACTGCAATACAGCCTGGGTGACAGAGCCAGACCCTGTCTCACAAAACAAAACAAAAACCAAAAAAAAAGTGTAAACTGTGTAACTTTGCATATTATTGATATTTCTTCTAACGAAAACATGAAATAATTATGCATATATATATATATATATATATCGAGACAGAAATACACATATTATCACAGCCTTATTTGTAATTATATGGAAAATTTGGAAATGACTAACATTTAGGTCATTGGACATTGGCTATTTCCAAACTTGGAGTTGGGTACATAAATGAAATACTATACAGCCATTATAAGTAATAAGGTAGCTCTATTGACAGACTATTTGATGAAAAAAGAAAAGCAGATGATAAAATATCATATTATATAATTCTGTCTTGATCAGAAAAATTAGAAATCAATAGCATTACCAGCCTGAACAACATAGGGAGATCCCCATCTCTACAAAAACTAAAAATATACAAAATTAGCTGAGTGCAGTGGTATGTGCCTGTAGTATACTTGGGAGGCTGAGGTGGGAGAATTGCTTGAGCCCAGGAGATCAAGGCTGCAGTAAGCTGTGATCACAACACTGCATTCCAGCCTGGGCAAAAAGGAGCAAGACCTTGTTTCAAAACAAACAAAACAAAACAAAACAAAACAATCTTTTAGAAATAAACAGCATTACAGTGTATATATTATGTGTGAAATGAGAATATTTGTATATACCTGTGATTTAAATTTTTATGTCTTCATATATATCTAATTTTTTTTTTTTTTTTTTTTTTTTGAGACAGAGTTTCACTCTTGTTACCCAGGCTGGAGTGCAATGGCACGATCTCGGCTCACCGCAACCTCCGCTTCCTGGGTTCAGGCAATTCTCCTGCCTCAGCCTCCTGAGTAGTTGGGATTACAGGTACGTGCCACCGTGCCCAGCTAATTTTTTTTATTTTTAGTAGAGACGAGGTTTCACCATGTTGACCAGGATGGTCTCGATCTCTTGACCTCGTGATCCACCTGCCTCAGCCTTCCAGAGTGCTGGGATTAAAGGCTTGAGCCACCGCGCCCGGCCCTTTATCTAATTTTTTAACAATATATATGTCATTAACTTATCTTTATTTTAAAGTACAATATTATAACATTTATTTATATAATGCATGCAATTTGTTAAAAAAAAAGACACTTTTTTGTTTGGGAAAAATACTGAATATGAGTTTGTTTTTAATTGAACTGATCCTTTTTGTTCTTACAGCCAACACATTCCAAAATATTTTATTGACATTTACTCAAATCAGCATTTACCATCATAAATCCAGCCAGCAAGGATAAAGGAATAATATGTGATTTCTGATCTCAACTTAATATTTTTATTAAAATTTATGGCAAATATATTTCACTTGCAAGTTAATTAAGGCATTAAAATCACAGGAAATTTCTCTTGGCCACTACGACTAGGACAGAAATTTCAAAGTAGTTCCTATAAACTTAATCCAGTCAAACCAATCACTCTGAAATGCACAACTTACAATGTCCCTAGTCCATACATGCAAAGTAGGAAAAAAATCTGTTACAGTACTTTTGTATGGAAGTCAGTTTCCTTAGGTTGCTGTGAGAACCATCTGCAGACCATGTTATAATACTGAATATATGGCCAGGTGCAGTGGCTCATGCCTGTAATCCCAGCACTTTGGGAGGCCAAGGCGGTTGGATCACCTGAGGTCAGGAGTTCAAAACCAGCCTGGCCAACATGGTGAAACCCCACGTCTACCGAAAGTACAAAAATCAGTTGGGCGAGGTGGCGAGCACCTGTAATCTCAGCTACCTGGGAGGCTGAGGCGGGAGAATCGCTTGAACCAGAGAGGTGGATGTTGCAGTAAGCCCAGATTGCGCCACTGCACTCCAGTCTGGGTGACAAGAATCAGACTGTCTCAAAACAAACAAAAAACCCAACTGAACATGACTCTATTCACTAATTTAGTGGTGTAGGTAGACTCAAAAAATTAAGACTGATTTAAGGAACAGCTCAGGGCAAGTCTTGCTCACCTGACCTCCTTCTGCCCCCAAAACCCCAACAGAAGATAATGCTGATCTAGGGAACCTGAAGTGGCGCCGCCCCACAGCGAGGCCCTAGATGAGAGTTCCCGCAGGCCTTTATAAGCCTGAGTCCTCAGCCGACGACGTTCAGGGACCAGCAGGCGAAGAGCCAGGGCAGAGCGGCCCCGCCTCCAGTAGGCAGCAGAACTGGGCTTCTGGCGTCGGCCAAGATACCTCTGAGCAGTTCCGCCTCGGGCTGCGGTCTGCGCAGCCGCGGAAAGCTGCGCCCAGTTTTTCAGCCCATTGCCACGACAGCGGCGGCATGGCGGGCGCAGAGCTGAGGGCGGCGCTCGAGCAGCGGCTCGGTGCTCTGGCCATCCAAACCGAGGTCGTGGAGCACCCCGAGGTGAGGCCCCTAGGGGTGACCGCCGAGACAGGCCCGGCAGGAGCGGGGTGGGTTGCGCTGCACATCCGTCGGGCGAGGCCGCTAAGATCGGGTGTCCCGGGATTAACGTACCATGAGAACGTCGCTCCTGGAGTATTTCCCGGGTCTCAAAATAGGAAAGGGACCTCTGCAGGGACAGCAGAGAACTTCCGTCTTGGGACCATGAGGTCACTGCAAGGAAACCTTTCCTCTGGGGAGTAATTTGCTTACATTTCGTGTTGAGAACTAGCACAACATACGGAGGACTGTGCATCTTTTATCAGTCTGGGGTGTTGGTCAGGTCAGTTTGTCCACTTTTTGTGTAGATAAAATAAGCAAGTGGTTAATAGTGTGTTCAGTAGGTACAACGGATCAGGCACCATACATACAGCAGGACACTGAAGTTCAGAGTGACATTTTTTTCTGCCGTGGTCAGGTTGATCACAAAGCATGCAAAATCGCAGAAACCATCACTACCCCAAAAAGTGCTTGCCAAAATATACATGCCTGTGTTTTCATAAATGGTAACATTTGTTGTGCATTGATGTGAAGTCTTGCTTGCAACTATTAGAGAATCTCACTCTGTGTTCCAGGCTGGAGTGCAGTAGCACCATCTCCGCATACTGCAACTTCTGCCTTCAGGGTTCAAGCGATTCTCCTGCCTCCGCCTCCCGAGTAGCTGGGACTACAGGCTCGTTCCACTATGCTTGGCTAATTTTTGTATTTTTGGTAGAGATAGGGCTTCGCCATGTGGACATGGCTGGTCTCAAATTTCTGACCTCAGGTGATTCTCCCACCTTAACCTCCCAGTGAGCCACATCCCTGGGCCACTTCCAAATATTTCACAGAACCAATGTGTAACTTGAGTGGTGCAAGGACATGAAGTTTACCCAAGGCTTGAGTTAACAGTTGATAATGGCTAAATATGGTGATCTACAAAGAGTAGAGGAATATATTAGTATTCTTCACCTTCACAAATATAACATCAAAACTGTAATCATTTTCTCTAACTTTCCTCCCTTCCATATAGTCATATATTCTTCCACTTTATGTGCGCATATGCCAGATTTTCTGATGTTCTGTTTGGGTTCTTACTGCCTGCCCACTGACCTTCTTTGTGGTTATTAGTCACATGGTCTGGATGTAATGGAATGCTAAGGAATAGGAGTCCAGAACTGCTATAAACTTTGAGAACCAAAAGCTTAAATTCAAAAATAACAAAAAGCTGCTGAGGAATATTAGGACTTGGCCAGTACATGTGAATAGAAAACTAGCCGAAGAAACTGCCTGAGGTCCTGAGATGAGAAAATGAGATGGCATGGGCTTATAATTATTTGGTAACGGGCTGGAGATGGGTCTCTACCAGTGAAATTCAGGGCAATGAGCACTCCCTAACCTTGCTGTTTTCACCCAGCAAGCAAAATACGTATAAATGTGTGTATATGTATACATGCATATTAATTATTTTTAAACTTATGTGATATTTTATAGGTGTTTACAGTTGAAGAAATGATGCCTCATATCCAGCATTTGAAAGGAGCACATAGTAAGAACTTATTTCTTAAAGACAAAAAGAAAAAGAGTTATTGGCTGGTGACAGTTCTTCATGATAGACAAATTAATTTAAATGAGCTTGCCAAGCAGTTAGGTGTTGGGAGTGGAAATCTGCGGTTTGCTGATGAAACAGCCATGCTAGAAAAACTCAAAGTTGGTCAAGGCTGTGCTACACCCTTGGCACTTTTCTGTGATGCTGGAGATGTGAAGTTTGTTCTGGATTCTGCTTTTCTGGAAGGTGTACATGAAAAGGTGTACTTTCATCCAATGACCAATGCTGCAACCATGGGATTGAGCCCTGAAGACTTTCTCACATTTGTGAAGAACACAGGACATGATCCCATAATACTAAATTTTGATAAAAACAACTAATTGGGTCAATGTTTAGAATAAATTTCTTTCTAAAAGCTGTTTTTCTTATTTGTAATTTATAAAAAGCATTGTAAGTGTAAGAATATTTGGTATCCTTAGTGTGGTGACTAAACCACTTTAGGAGGAATATAGTATTTCATCTTAAAAGGGCTCCTTTTGAGACGGAGTTTCACTCTTGTCCAGGCTGGAGTGCAGTGGTACGATCTTGGCTCCTTGCAACCAAGCAATTCTTCCGTCTCAGCCTCCTTAGTAGTTGGGATTATAGGCACCTGCTACTATGCCAGGCTAATTCTTGTATTTTTAGTAGAGAATGGGTTTCACCATGTTGGCCAGGATTGTCTTGATCTCTCGACCTCGTGATCCACCCGTCTTGGCCTCCCAAAGTGCTGGGATTACAGGCTTGAGCCACCATGCCCGGCCACTAGCTTACATCTTTAGGGTGTTATTTTACTTGAAAAAAGCAAGTGGCCGGGCGCGGTGGCTCAAGCCTGTAATCCCAGCACTTTGGGAGGCCGAGGCGGGTGGATCACGAGGTCGAGAGATCGAGACCATCCTGGTCAACATGGTGAAACCCCGTCTCTACTAAAAATACAAAACATTAGCTGGGCATGGTGGCGCGTGCCTGTAATCCCAGCTACTCAGGAGGCTGAGGCAGGAGAATTGCTTGAACCCAGGAGGCGGAGGTTGCGGTGAGCCGAGATCGTGCCATTGCACTCCAGCCTGGGTAACAAGAGTGAAACTCCGTCTCAAAAAAAAAAAAAAAAAAAAAAAAAAAAAAAAAAAAGAAAAAGAAAAAAGCAAGTTGTAAAACAGTATGTATAAAATTATAAGTGTACATAATACAGGGAAAAAATCAAAATACAGGAATATATTGTTGAGGCCAGGTGCAGGGACTCCCACCTGTAATCTCTGCTTTGGGAGGCCAAGGCAGGAGGGAGGATCAGTTGAGGCCAGGAGTTCCAGACCAGCTTGGGCAACAAAGTGAGAGACCCCCATCTCTACAAAAAATTGAAAAATGGGCCAAGTGTGGTGGTTCACTTGTGTAGTCTTAGCATATTGGGAAGCTGGATCACTTAAGCCCAGGAATTCAAGGCTACAGTGAGCTAAGAACACAGCGCTGCACTGCAGCCTGGGTGACTGTGAGACTTTGTTTCTTAAAAGCCAGAGTCTTGATAGTGGTTATTTTTGGGAAATGGGGATTAAAGAATAACTCCCCAGCAAGATAATTAAACATGGGGGCAAAGGTAAACACTTTCCATTATTGGAGTTTGTTTATTAAACTAGTGATTTTTTTCAGTGAAAAATAATCAACTTTCTATGAAAATATCTTTATTAAATTTTAATCCAGAAAAACAACTAGGGGTGGAATATGTTATATCATAATCACTGTACTATTAAAGTTACAGGCCAGGTATGGTGGCTCACGCCTGTAATCCTAGCACTTTGGGAGGCTGAGGTGGGTGTATCACCCAAGATAAGGAGTTCGAGGCCAACATGGTGAAACCCAGTCTCTACTTAAAATACAAAAATTAGCCAGGCATGGTGATGTGTGCCTGTAGTCCCAGCTACTTGGGAGGCTGAGGCAGGAAAATGGCTTGAATCCAGGAGACAGAGGTTGCAGTGAGCCGAGACTCTGCCACTGCACTCCAGCCTGGGTGACAAGAGTAAGACTCTGTCTCAAAGAAAAAAAAAAAAAAAAAGTTAGATTTATAGGCTGGAGTGGTCAAATTCCTTGTTCAACTCTTTCCTCCCTTTCTACTACTACACTTAACTAGTCTTAACAAAATATTACATTCAAAAATATAGTAGTGGAATATACATTACGCTATTAAGGATTCAAGGCCAGGTGTGGTTAGGCCTGTAATCCTAGCACTTTGGGATGCCAAGGGTGGGGGAAGAATGCTTGAGCCCAGGACTTCAAGACTGGCTTGGGCAACATGCTGAAACTCTGTTGCTACAAAACATGTAAAAATAGCTGTGCACAATGGTAAGCACCTGTAGTCCCAGCTACTTGGGAGGCTGAAGTGGGAGGATTACCTGAGCCCAGGAAGTCCAGGCTGCAGTGAGCAGTGATCCTGGCACTACACTCCAGCCAGGGTGACTGGGTGAGACCCTTTCTCCCCACCCCGCCAAAAAGGATTTATTTAGTCTTTGTTCAGAGGTTATTGTGAACATGCAATTAGCCAGGCATGGTGGCATATCCCTGTAATCCCAGCTACTCTGGAGGCTGAAACAAGATGATCACTTGAACCCAGGAGTTGGAGGTTATAGTGAGCCGAGATTGTGCCCACTGCACTCCAGCCTGGGTGACAGAACGAGAATCTGTCTCCAAAAAAAAAAAATATATATATATATATATGTGAACATACTTGTCCAAGTTTCTTCTGTCCTCTAGGCTACAATGAAGTTTTACTCATCCCCTTTCAGTATGTCATCTGAGAGCATAAAATTGCAGGAAAATCTGAAGTCATCTGTTACATAAAAGCTAGTTCAAAAAGAAAAAAATTGATTTTTTTTTTTTTTTTTTTGAGACGGAGTCTTGCTCTGTCACTAGGCTGGAGTGCAGTGGTACTATCCCTGCTCACTGTTAACTTCCGCCTCCTGGTTCAAGCTATTCTCCTGCCTCAGCCTCCTGAGTAGCTGGGATTACAGGCGCCTGCCACCACACCTGGCTAATTTTTGTGTTTTTAGTAGAGATGGGGTTTCAACATGTTGGCCAGGTTGGTCTTGAACTTTTGACCTCAGGTGATCCACCATGCCTGGCCCAGTTTGACATTTTTTAAACCTCACTTAAACAAAATCCTTCATTAGTGGTGTGAGGATCTGATGTAAGCTATTCCTCTTCTTGTGGTCATGAAAATTCTAGTATTTCCTTCTGGTACAATAAAATGGGATTGTCTTTTGTTTCTGTTTTTGTTTTTTTCTGAAATGGGATATTCTTTAAAGAACCACATTTTCCTAAGTTTGATCATTCAGAAAACAGTTTCCACTTGGTAGAAATATTAATACTTAATTTGTACCAAGTTGTATTACTAAAAGGCAAAATAAAAGTAATGATAACTTTATTCTAAGGTTCTTATTAGTTTTTACATACTCTGTATTCTATTTCTAACACAAAGTAGACATTTTAGGTTGCTTTGCATATGAAATGAAGGTACTAATGAATACACAGAAATTAAGCGCCAAGGTGCTTAATTGGTCTAATTACCCTCCCCACCCTTTTTTTTTTTTTTCCCTTGAGAGTCTTGCTCTGTCACCCAGGCTGGAGTCCAGTGGCTCTATCTTTGCTCACTACAACCTCCGTCTGCTGGGTTCAAGCAATTCTGTCTCAGCCTCCCAAGTAGCTGGGATTACAGGCTCCCGCCACCATGCCCACCTTGCCCTCCCCACCTTATGGCGAAAACAGGCCAGGAAAAACTGACTTGCCCAAGGACAAGGCCAGTTGCCTTTTTGTCTCCCAAAGTCTGTAAGTTAGAATGAGAGATTAATTTGTGCAGTCTATTAGATTATATTTAAACCTATTTTGGGATTGATAAAATTGACAGACTCTCTCCAAACCTCTAATACTTACTCCAAAAGAATTACAACACAATCAACTAAACAAGTTTATGGGTTACATCTGACAATAATTCTCTATCGAAAAGGGAAAGGAATAAAATAACACTTGGCTAAAATTGTATCATTTTAAAATGATTACTAACCACTTGTTACAAAAATCACCTCTTGTTTTTATTTTTTTATATTAGTTTGATATGTGAATGTTAATCCAACTTCATTTTTGAAGGAGAAACAAAATGAAAAATGTTTTTTAAAAAACAATCAAACAGTGATGTCTCTTGTCATGAGTTGGATACCTGTGACTGACATCAGGTATTGCTAAGTAATAAACATTTTGCCATTCAACTCTAAATCCCTTATTAGCATTAGTTTTAAAGGAAATGTTACAGCTTTTATATTATTTGATTTGCTATTTAATAACAGTTATAAGTACACTGGTAGACACTGAAAAAGAAAACCCTTAATAGAAAAGAAAAAGACAATTTAAAATCAGAGTTTGTTGAAGGGTGTTATAAGTGCAACTTTATCCATATGCATTCCTTTTAAGGCATTTTCATTGTCCAAATATCTCAACATGTACATCAAGGTTTATATATAAAATGGGCTCCTTTTGTATTAATTCAAGAATTAAAGAAAAAAAATACATCTCAGGACTAAGTGTAGCTGAAAAGAAAAACACAAAAATTCACTTTTCTCACAAAAAGTAAGATACAAAAGTCATTTAGCATACATTATTACTCCCCACTGTAATTCCACATTTGGTACAGTACCTTTTTCATTTCCTGACATAAACCATTAAGACAGCACAGGCTGTAGTACTTCATTGTGAGATGGCTACAATTCTATAATATGCACAGTGATTTTAAAAGAGGCTTTTAATATGCCTTGCATGAAAGGTGCTACATACAAACCTGTTTTGTGAACTCTTTGGTAACCATCAATTCAAAAATTTGGACAAAAGCATTTCCATGTGGCCAGATCTGAAGCACATTATTGGAGCTCTGCGCCAAAGGTATCACCCTGTATATTGACTCTTCAGTTTCTTTAGGGGTTTAGGTGTTGATTTAGAATAGAGCCAGATAATTTAAAGCATGTCAGGCCCCAGTTAGGAAAATGAAAATGGCTCCAATTAGTTTCCAGTTGGCTTTATTATTGTTTGGCAGAAGAAGTTTAAGGAAAGAGTGGCTTCCTATAAAATTTGTTTCTCAAGGTATATTGGAGAAAGTAAAATATTCATGTGGTTACTACTATCTAATCTTTTCTTGAAATGGTATGAAAATTGTGAAGAATATAATTGAGATTATTCGTATTTTTCTAGTCTTAATGTGTTCCCTTGGTTGTCTCTTTAATTGTTCCTTCTCAGGATCAGCCTACTTTACAGGCTGTTCTTGAGCATTTTCTGCTTGAAGCACTAATGTGCTTAACACAGCATGTTCTCTGTTTTGGGAAATTAGTGTTCTGGAGAGGTCAAGCTGTGGTATCATTCACCTTCATTGGGCTACCTCACCACTCATTAAATTTCAGCTTTTCATTAATT